TCTGGGGTGCTGCCGCCCCGACTATATTATTTATGCTCGATCCAGAGGAGGGCTGTCCGACTGATCGATGACTCTTCGCTACAGTCGCTTACAGTCTCGGGACCTCTTCGCACCGGCGGGCCATCGGCGATCTAGCTCTCTTCCACCGCTACACCAACAAGCTTTGATACTCAGAGCTCTCCTCCATGGTGCTGTCACGCGATGTGCCTGCCAGACACATCCGTCTGACATCGGCCTCTCATCCTAACCGTGTCGAACTTCATCTTCGTCTTCGTCTTGTCCCGAGGATGTCGACATTGTGGAAGAATCTACAAGAGGGAGCTTTTCCCAGTTCTACTAACTTTAGGCAGTTCAAATATCGGATTAATAAAACTTCTTTGGGATCCTGATAGCAACCACGGTGTTCTGGCATTTAGGAGTTAAAAAAAGAGGCTAGCGTATGTTATAAAGATATGCTAAAAATCCGATCAAACCTGCAAATATCACCCAAATTTTACATTTTCTATCTTTTTAGGCAAAATTTTTGTAAATTACTACCCAAAAACAATGTCTACTGTGACTGAGAAATAAATACGGCTAATCCAAGCCAATATACTATATTTAATGATGTTTTGTAGGGAGTTTGTGTCACAGGCGTTTGCCTTTCGGTTAGAGCTTTTATTAAGTTTTTTTCTCTATATTCCAAATGCCACGAAGGCCTAAGGCCTAAGCACCCATGGGGTACCGTGGGGCTATAGGGGGCTACAGGGGAAAGGGGGAACGCCACACGGACTCTGGCGAGGGAACACGTGTGCATGCAACATGCACACATTCTGGCCCCGCCTACGAGATCCGCCGGGTGGTAGCTCCGCGTTCGACAGTCAGAGACCGTCTACCACCTACGGACAATCACAACATCCATAGCCAAGAGAAAAATTTCTCCTGGGACGGGATTCGAACCCGCACAGCGCACGGCGACTGATCAGGAGACAGAAGTCTACTACTGCGGCCACCGCTGCTGCCTAAGTAGCTTTATCACATACTATGCTGATATTGATTCCTCCATTTTTGCATATTTTAAGGATGGAAGTTTAAATGATGTTTTATGGACTCAAATCACATTAATTTTTTATTCAAGTATGCGAACTACTTAGTTTGTATGCACCAGAACCTTTTTAAGTACTTTCATTTGGTTTTATTCAATTTCAGAGAAAAACAAGCCGATAATTAATTCTTATCACAACATCTAATTGCCAAGAATTGATTTTGCAGTTCAGTGTTCCAGAATGGCAATCACTAACACAAACGTTAATTTTTATGATAATAAGGTGGATTTCCCAATTGGTATAGACGAGCCACCCATCAATCAGAAATGTACTTTGCTGAAGATTTCCTTGTTTCCGCTTTGATTTAATTCTATCAATTTATTCTTCACATATGCAGTATTTGTCCATATTCATCAATCACCACCCTGTACAATGCCACCAGACATAATTTTGTTTTATTACATTATGATGTTGTATTATTACTTTGCATAAATACTAACAATAAATTAGTGCCAGGTAAAACTTGTTAATGTGTTTATGCTTTTTACAATTTAGATAATTTTATAAAAAATAACCTCATGGCACCATTATAGGAAGAATATCGTTAAAAGAGTAGTATACATATTTAAATACAGATACAGATGAAGTGCATACTGATTATAACTTCCCACGCCTTGTGGCGCGAAATTTTCTAGAATGACATGTAGGTACATCACGAAAAACCATGTCACTCATTTACGTCGGCATGTTTGTCGGTCGGTCCGCTAATCTTAGGACCGCCTATAAATTGAGAAGTACCGCTCGGATTTCGATGAAATTTTTAAACAATTTTACTACTATGCCATGGACGCCAAAGATTTGTACCCATCCAGTGGTGGCAGCGAAAAAGGCCTCCCAAATTTACCTTTTTGATGTTTTAGATGATCCTGATCATTTTTGAGAATAAAGTAACAGGTAAAAAACTTGGGTGTGGGGGTGGAGAGTGTTTATCTCAAGATTTTGATGCTGGTATACTTATTTGCTCCCAAAATCTGCCCGAGTTAGGTATTGGGGAAAGGCAACGTTTCCAGGTGCACTACCAGTAGGGCAGGGAAGGAATGTCTATGAACTAATTGTATGGATCTGTTTGATTGAATTTTTTCTCAGAGGTTCTAGTTTGTTCTGATAAGAGCAATGCATGGGAAGTGTAGAGTTAATCTACTTGAAGCCATTTTTTCCCTAGCTTACAATATAAAGTTATATAAAGAAATTAATTGGGATGAATGAAAAAGCTTTTTCTGAAGCAAAATCAAGTTATCTGCTTGATAATGGATCCATTCCTCAATTTGGCAAGGTTTGGATTAAGTTCACAAAAATTATGAACCCATGCAGCTGCATCAGTATAAAAACAAAAACAAAATAATTTGAACAAGTTTGCACCATAGGTAACTGTAAGTGCTTAAATAGCCATAAGGCATCATACTTCTGTGTATGAATTCTGTTTGGTGCCCACTGGCTATGCACGATACAAGTGCTTTGTTACTATGGGGTAAACATGGCCATTGCAGGTGTGAGTGCTACATGTTCAATATTTACTGTGATCCATCAGAAACATGGCACTTACTGAACTTGTAGCATAGTGTGATGGATGCACAGATTACTAATACACTAGAGGGTCGTTATTCTTCTATCCACTAGATGTTCTATTCATTATATTCATTATAAGAAGCTCTAGAAAAATTATCTTTCCTAAATGCATGTGGGCAAATGAAGAATTTCTTGATTTTGTAGTTTGTCATATAAGACATTCATGACACCCCTGAGAAAAATTCCTCCTGACGCCCATGGAATGAGCTAGGAAACCGGCCAAGCAGTAGGTGACTCAGAGATCAAAGAGACAGATAGTAGCTATCACATCTGTATAACCCCTTGTTATGTAGAAACCCCCTGATACTGATAGATCAATCAGTAAATACTGATGGTATTGATCACAGTGAATACTGAACATGTAGAATTTGCCTTGAGATTCCACTGTCAATCTTATGGGATCCAGGGGGCTCAGAGTAACTGCTCGCCTTATTTGACAGTTGTGTAATAGGCCTGGTCCCTCTCTAACTCTAGATCTGGTTCCGAATTCTAAATAGATATGTTCGTGTCGTATTTGGAATATAACATATATAATCATGTTTAAATATGAATTTACCAGAAGACATTCAAAAAGAAAACATCGACAAATACATACCTGGTGTTGGTTGCACCAATTTCGAAGGATAAGGCAATGGCTCCTCAAATATCTTTTTAAATTCATCGGTAGGGTCTTCCTGAAATTATAAACTATGTAAAAGCAATAATTTAAGAAATTTATATGTGCTTACCGCAAAGCGAAGGTTTTTCTCAACTATACTTGAATCCACATCTAGAAATACAGGTTTTTTGCTGCTACTTGCCATTTTAAGTATTATATGTTGTATAAATAAGTTAAACTTTGAGTGTTTTTGGTAGATCAAACGAAAAATCAGCAATATTTTCAAATTCGGTTTGTTGCCTTTCTGGAAATACACAATACACAACCACCACAAAACATCTACAAAACAGCACTGAATGTCACCTGTCACGTCATATGAAAGTCAGAATTAGTTATTACGGTATAAGACGAGCCGCATCTAAGTGATGTTTTTGTCGCCACGTTGCCAAGTTTTAAAATCATAAATACTTTACTACACAATCAATGGAGAGAAGTGCGCTTTCGTTCATAAGATTCTTGTTTCTGTCTATGTAATTTAAAGATGTCCACATAAGTATTTCTAATTTGAGCATCTGTTTAGTGCAATCGTCATTCAGTGGACGCCAATATTATCAGACTGACCTTATAAACGGCACCGCACGGGTATCACGTATCTAGAAAAGTGACATTATGCCGATTTTTTTTTACATTATGCTGTTTTTTTGACATTATTTGGCTCTGAAGTGATGTAAAATCTGCTTCTGAGATGGCATCACTGGAGGTCTAAACTGTAAGTTGTATGTGGTGATGATAATTACATTAGGTTCTTGTCTCAAATACACTTAATTGAGATTCAAAGCTAGAATATAGTTTAGCATCCACTTTTTCTTATCCATTCTGGAAATTACATATGCAAATTTGCTGAATTTCAAAAATGAGAGAGATAAGAAATAATTATATTCACTGTACACTGTCGAATTACAAGCCATATACGTGCTAATAGTAATTACACACAACGCGGGCGCGGTGATGATTTCCCGTAATTCTCCTCAGTTTTTCGTAATTTATAACTTTGAACATAACCTCTCTTTAGAAAGCACAACATAAAAATAAGCCGTCAGTAATGATTTTCTCACACAGCAAATATCACTGATTTTATACACATGCAGACCAATACACAATCATCCAGATATATGCGATCTTGCTATTCAACCAACTTTCTTCTCAGAGATAAAAACTACAGACAAGGACCATTTGGTTTCCCAAAACATATGCAACCAATAATGCGTTTAGTTTAATTGAGTAATTCCTCCTGAGATGGACGTTCACAACGATCCTAGTGAGCAAAGGTGGAATGACTGTTTGCGCCCTATAAAAACTACCTAGTTTGCAAGATGACATCTTATAGGTTTTTTGACTTTTTATATGTTTTTTACATGATACCCATGCCGGTATTACGTATCCTGAAAAGTGATATTATATTGATTTTTTTCGTCCTTATATTAGTTATTTGTGACATTATGTAGGTACCATCCACTTGTAATCCTAGGTTGTATTCACGGTAAAGCTTTGAGGCTTATGCCCCCAAAACTTTCATTGTTTCCGACGAATGCTAATTTTTCCGATCTGCTAGGATGCCAATTACATTTTCTGACTCTGGTTAGGTTTTGTCGTTTCAAATGAGTTTGTAAATGCATCCATTTTTTGAAATAATTGAAGCTTGCACACTTTCTACTGGGTGTTCTACTTCTTCATTTTCAAGAATAATTGGCCTCCAGGCCATGCGAATAAAAAAATAAGTAAAATAGCAGACGCTCAAACAAAATGGACATTCCGGCAAGAGGACAGCTTATTTAGGTTCTATGGATCACATTTGAGGGATGGTGACCTTCAAGGTCACATGTACTGTCACTGTCAAAGTTAAAAGTAATCAACATCTATTGGATTTGTTGGATTTCAATTTCATTTTCATGCGTTGATCGCGCGATCGCGGGTGATACGTGTATTTAAAATAAAAATTAGGATCAACAGGGTTTAATAACAAATTAGTTTAGTTAAAAGTATATTACAACCACCAAAAATTACAAAAATTTGGAAGTAGGAGCGAATTTTAGATAACCAGTAAAGCACCTTCAATAATCACTATTGTGCAAACTTGTATATCGTGCCAATTTGTATAATTATTTGCTTTTAACTCATTCCTGTACTAGGCTAAGTAGTGTGAAAACCTCATTCATTTAGACTTTAATTTATCTTTTGTTAATCATCATTTGATGAGCTTTGAAGCTTAGATAAACCTCATTTACACCGCAAATTTAGGTTAAACAAATCAACCTTGTACTTTTTTCTCCGAACAACTATTATTAGATAACGATCAATCAAACATAACTTTTTGTCATTTTTACATAGGTACTGAGCTGCAAAATGGCGAATTCAACCTCGGTTTCAGCACCTCTGGATGAATTTTGTGGGTCACCATTCTGGGTGAGTCTTTCAATATTTATATTTGTATGTCACTTTCGAATATTTAAGCTACATACTACCTACTCCTACTTCTCAAGTTATCCTAAAATACATGGTGTCCCAAAATGTGTAAAAAATTTGTGTGTAGATTATAAATCCTTATTTATATTATTTGGTCTTAAATTTCACAGGTAAAGACCAGCTCCAATTCATGGATGGTATTTTCTTAGTACCTTGTTAATGACACGAATATTGGCTCAAGAAAAACACTACTATAGTAATACTGATTTTGTGAATTGTAATGATGTCACAGATTTAATTTAGCCCTACATATTTTACAGTTTGGTTGCACAGCTGAGGAGTGTGCAAAAACATATTTTTTATAATTTAGTGCTTCGAAAAAGATTATGTGATAAGAAAAGCTTCAGCTAGGAAAAAACATTATACATCTTAAATTATATAGCTGGTTTGATGTATTGAGTGTAATTTCAAATATTTCCAAAGATGTACATATGTCATGGGATGTGGGTATGGATGCTTGCAGGGATTCTTATTGAACTGAGGACTGCTGTAGGATCCAAACTGATATTATGTGGGGTATTTCATAAAAAAAACTCCAAGGAATATCAATATTTTGTTCTTAAAAAGTATATTCTGACCGGTTTTCGAGGTTCAAACGCGAAATATCGCGTCAATGGAGTGACAGAATAATTTCATAGTAAATAGGTTTTTCCATGTCCTTAGAATAACATTCTATTTTGCCATAGAGACATTTTTTTATTAGAGGTGAGGAAAGCCTTTTTTCATTAGCGGTTGACATATAATGTGTTTCACCTATAGAAGTATCTGTTCGTGGGTATCTGGTATAAAAATTACCTGAAATGAGAATAAAACATTTCCAGCTATTAACAACTCGATTTTGTCTCACATTATATTCCATAAATCTACTCATGACATTAACAATAAGTAGCAAGTGCTCCAATTTCACTTACTAATCATAAGACTGTAAACACATGGCATACTCAAGGGCAACAAACAAATAATCTCTCTATTAAAGAGTCACAATGAGACTTCAATTAATATCAAAGCAAACAGTGCCACCAGAAATTAATCAGCATGAAATTGTCGAGCACCCATTTCAGTGCATTACATAACATTAGGCAAATTGCATTTTGTTATCAATATTTGTGTAATATGACTGTGTGACTGCTTAAAAAGCAAATGCTTTATCCATATAAACATAATAGTAGATATGTAATGCGGTTAGATTCTTGTTTCTGACTGTTTATGTAATTTACAGATAAGTGGACATATTTCTATTTTAACTGTTTGGTGCAATCGCCAAACCGTCATTCATTGGACGTAAATGTCAGACTGGCCATATAAGCTGGGCAAATGCCTGGTAAAGATGCTATGGAAAGGTACTCAATCCAAAGCCTTTTTCAAGGGAAAGCCTTGAGCCTTGTGACTCAACAGAACTTTCTTTCTCCTCACGGATGCTATTTTTTCCGAAATCGTAGGGCACCCATTTCACTGCATTACAACCATTATTCAAATTGTATCTTGTTATCAATAGTTATGTAATATGACTGTGAGTGCATCAAGGCTTAACAACAATTTTATACATTATGCAACACAGTTTCATAGTGTTTGTTTAAAAAGTAAGTGCATTATCCGTATCAGCGGCAAAGTACATAGCTAATGGAGTATTGTCCAAAATCTTATTTTCACGGAATATCAATAACTATTCAACAAGTGGCGAAACGTGCCCTTTAAAGTTCGTGCTTCGTACGCCAAAGCTGTAACGTAATAAGTTCAAGTATGACGTAATAAGTTTCTCACTAACCATTTAAAAAACCTAAAAAAGTATATACATTGTGGCCGATCCATGTGTGGACGGAATATTACTCATAAACATATAAATTTTGGGAAAATCTATGTATGGCATGTTATACATGACATTTGAGGGTATATTTCTAAAATATTGGCAATTATACAGGGTGTCCTAATTTTGACCTACATATCAAAGTTGTGATTTTTTAAATGAAATGCCTCAAATTTTATTGCATATTTGGATAAACCATTTCAAAAGAAAAAGATTGATATAACACACTATGGGATTTTGGTAATTAGCTTCTGAGAGGTAAGGTGTTTTGTCCACAATTTTTCGAATTTTCATTTTTGCTGATACAGGGTGGGCAAAATCGCGAATTGTACTTTTTCTCAAAAATTTCAAGTGCATCACCCTGTATATTTGTGCAAGTTTGGATTTAATTTTTCATAAGCTTTTTTTTGGTATAAGGTTTGATTCAGATAAAATCACTAGATTTTGAGTTATTAAGCTTTTAATAGAACAACACACCAAAATTAAGGAAAAATATCACATCATCCATTGAAACAAAAGACAAATAGTGGGCTCATTCCACATTTCCACTAAGAGTACAGATTTGACGTAAAAAGTATTAACAATCAGAACAATATAAATCAGCTTCAAGCGTAATAGAGAAAAACAACTATAACAACTTAAACAAACAACTATCACTACTCAAGACCTAATCTACCAAAACTGCTCGAAAATATCTTCAACATGTTGAATAAACAGTCGTAGTCTTTCCTTCATATTTTCTGGGGTAGATAGTGGATATCTATAAACATCTTTCTTAACGTAGCCCCATAGAAAGAAGTCCATCAGTGCCATATCTGGTGGGCTAGGAGTTCAAGATATAGGCCCATCACGACCGATCCAACGATTGTTACGCCAGGTGTCCAAACAGTTACGCACACTATTATGATAATGCGCAGGTGCGCCGTCATGTTGGAAATACATATGCATCGAGTTTGCAGGCTGGCATCCTCCAAAAGCAAATCAAATGCTCGATCAAAAAATTCAAGTGTTCTGTATCTGTTAATGTGTTATCGAAAAAGAAAGGCCCGATAATTTGTCTGTCAATAACTCCTCCCCAAACATTCTAGCTCCATTTATTTTTCTTAACCCAGTAAGGGTCTTTCGTCGCATGATAGTGCATGTTATGCCTGATGGCAACCCCTATGCGGTTAAAAGTTGCCTCATCGCTAAAAAGTTACCTTATCCAGGAAAGTAGTGTCTTCACTCACTTTATTTAGCATTATTCTACTAAAATCCATTCGATCTGCGAAATCCTGAGGACCAAGGCCTTGATGAAAGCATAGGTGATATGGATGGTACCCATGCTTGTGAATAATCCTTTGGACAGAAGCTCTGCATATATCAGTTTCTGCAACTTTAATAGAACCTTCAACTGATTCGCCTCATTGGTGACACTTGGATTATTTATACATTCTTTACTATATTCCACTGCTCCACTTGATTCAAAACGTTCTCGTAGTGCGGAAAATGTTTTCGGCCTTGGATGTCGCATATTAGGGTACCGTTGCTTATAAATGCGAGATGCTAGGAAACTATTTCTTTGGGCCATTTCTTCGTTAGAAAAATTCATTTTCAAACACTTTGAATTATAATGCTCACAATGCTAATTTTGACAGTTTGTAACTAATCAACAATTTATTCGTTTCCAAAAATGATGCGATATTTTAAGGAATTAAGCCGTTCCATAAAAGATGTGCTAATAACCGAAAAAATAGCCGTAAAAACCCTTGTGCCTAGTATCAAAGAAAGTTTATAAAAAATTTAATCCAAACACGCACAAATATACAGGGTGATGCAAAAGTAACTAATAAGATAAAAGCTGAGGTGTGTAAGTTTTTTTTATACAAAATTCAGCACTCCAAATTTCAAAATGGCGAAGTGGGGGATTTTCTAGACAAAACACCTTATATCACAGTAGCTAATTACCAAAACCTCATAGTACGTTATATCAATTTTCTTCTTTTGAATTGGTTTATCCAAATATGCAATAAAATTTGAGGCATTTCATTTGAAAAATCACAACTTTGATAAGTACGTCGAAACTGTCTTCCTGTATAATGGCCAATATTTTAGAAATGTGCCTCAAATGTCATGTATAACATCCCATGAATAGATTTTCCCAAAATGTATTTGTTTATGAGTAATATTCCGTCCATACCTGGATGGGCCACCCTGTATAGATTTTTGCATATAAATTTACCATGGGTGCTCGCAGGAAGTTTTCTCAGTCAGACGGGGTGGATCATCATCAAGACAACTTTCTGTAAAAGTGTACCTACTCCCAAAACTTTTTGAAGACCGAGGGGAGCAGAGTTTTGCGGGGTTGGGGGCGAGGAGGGGGCTACTGTGAATGAGAAAATTTTAGAAGTTCAGAATCTTGTTTTTTGTTTGTTTGCGATGTCTTTAAGACGTAAATCCATGTGGGGTCATAGTAGGTAGTGCTACAAGGGCGGTCTGATAAGTACTTAGCCCAAAAAAGAAACACGATAATGTTGGAAAAATGGCGATTTATTTCTGAACAGTCTCCTTTTAGCTCGATACACTGGACTCAGCGATGCTAAACCCATCTGAAAAATACGTTTTCTGGAGGTCTGCAAAGTAGGCCTTAGTGGCGGCGATAACGCCCCATTCGACTCTAATTTCTGCCCGGCGAGTGAATTTTTCAATTTTAAAATGAAAAAGTCGCACGGGGCCAAGTCTGGAGCATTCGCTGGATGGGGCAACAGTTTGTAGCCTCATTCGACTAATTTGGCCGTCACGACGGCGGAGGTGGGAGCCAGTGCGTTGTCATGTTGTAATGGTGGACGAGCACTTTTTTCTTCGCCAAATGGGGCCGTTTTTTCTGCAATTCGCCGTCGAATCGGCCCAATAAGACGGCATGGTAGAGCCCTATGGCCATTTTGCCCTTCTCCAGGCAGTGGATGTAGATCACACCTTGTGAATCCCAGAAAACGGCCGACAGGACAGACAACGACGCAGAAACTCCTTCGGGTTGCGCTTGAACAGCGCCAAACACTGCTCTGAAGTGATCCGACAAAGATAGACGATGTTTTCATGTTGCATGATCGATCATCTTTGAAAGATGAATAGTTAGGTTCTGTTAAAGCAGGTTATGTTGTTTTCGAATAATACTTTGGTCTTTGGTGTTCCTGCCTTAAGGTATTCTACTAATAACTGTTTTTTTTTCAAAACAAAAACTCGCCACTAGAATTATTACTAAGGTATCACTCAATAAAATGAAAATAAAAATAATCAGTGAAATAACCTAACATCGCAAAATCATAATATAAATTTGTTGTCATTATGTTCCTGGCATCGTGATTTTATCATCGACGTACGTCCATTCATTACTTCAGTACAATTTAGGGTATGACATAATAGTTATCTTTCGAGATTTTGACTATACGATACTAAATTTCTCAGGCGATAGTGGCGCCATCGAGCGGTGAGGCTAAGTACTTATCGAACCGTTCTCATACTTAATTTTGAAAAGCGTTTGAATGGCAGCTGTGTTATGAAGTAAAAATTAAAGTAGCTTTCAAATCGCCCGAATGTTTGTTTTTGTATGATTTACAAGATTTTTAAGGGCAATCAAGCATCTGTGTGGGGAGGTTAAGATTTTTAAAATTTTCGAAAATTTGCTTTCATCGTTTCTAATTGCTTCAGGCTAGGGCATATTCAGAATCATTATGGAGCTTAAACATTTTAAGCATCTTTAGCAAAAGGATTACCTTGACTTATGGATACTTTTGCCACTATTTTTTCCCGATTTATTGTTTGTTTTATTAAACCCTCCATAGTGGAGGGCGATTTTAGTGTAAATTTTCAGTCTCTGAAAACAGTTTCATGTTTGATATAAATAAATGTTTTATTTTCTTTTAATTTAATTATGTTTCTTCACAAATAACTCAAAAGCGGAAGAAGGTAGCTAAATTGTGTTTAAGCCAACATTGCAGCTCCAATCGTTTTTAGAATTACAATCCTCTCATTGTTAACATTTAAAAAAATGTTGCCTTAAATTAAGTAAACATAAAATACTGTTTGGAGAATGTTTGAACTCTAATTTAGAGACCATAGTTAGACACCTGTCAATCTCAAAAATAGTGATCTGCAACACAGTTTTTAAGCATTAAAAATTACCAATTTCAGGCTTTTACTACGGATTTTTTGTTTATAATGACAAAAAAGCACAAAAAACTTTACTTGGAGCGAGAATACCAATTTTTTAATTTGTCGAAAAACAAATGCTTAAATAAATTTGCACCAGGCTACCGCCCGGCAACAAATTGGATAGATTTTGCCATGAATTCGATGTATTTCTGCTATTCAATTTTTCAATCACCGACCGTTTTCGAGTTATTAACGGTTTCAAGAAGTCCTAAAAAATGGTCATTGTGAATGTTCAAAAAAATCTATAAATATCATATAAATTTGAAGTTTCCGAGAATCTAAACTAGAATGCAGACCTTCCCTCACAGAACTTTTAGGGCGACGAACACCAACCAAGAGAATTCAAAACCAAGTTACTACAGGGTCCGTCAGAAAGAACGCATGTTTTTTAACTGAGTAGTACAGTCAAAATAAGTATAGGAACAATATTTTATCATATCAAAATACTCAGAAATACATGCCACTTTTTGAGTAAAACAAAATTTACGTTCTAAAAACTATGTTGACCATATGGCGCCTTGAGCCGAAATGCAGGAAACAAGCCTCTCCCGAAATGAGCCCATTGCGTCGGCCAGCATCCTAGCAGGAATTTGGGTTATTATTATTTCCTCAAATCGACGAGGGTCCGAGGCTTGCTTTGGTAAACATTTGATTTTAGGTAGCCCCATAAAAAAAATCACTCGTTGACAGGTCCGGGGAGCGAGGGAGCCATGAAATATCGCCATCGCGTGAAATGAGACTTTTTTTCCGGAACTTTGACGTCGACCTGTCTGTCTCAGAACAGTGTGGTTCCAACAAGACGGGGCAACATCTCACACAGCTCGCACTTCGATGGAACTTCTTCGGCAAAAAATCCCACGACGTCTCATTTCACGTCATTGCGATATTCCATGGCCCCCTCGCTCCCCGGACCTGTCAACGTGTGATTTTTTTTTATGGGGCTACCTGAAATCGAAAGTTTACCAAAGCCTCGGCCCCTCGTCAATATGAAGGAGGAAATAGGAAGAGAAGTAACTCAAATTCCTGCACGGATGCTGGCCGACGCAATGGGCTCATTTAGGGAGAGGCTTGATTCCTGCATTTCGGCTCAAGCCCGCCATATGGCCGACATAGTTTTTAGAACGTAAATTTTGTTTTACTCAAAAAAATGGCATGTATTTCTGAGTATTTTGATATAAGAAAATATTTCTCCCATACTTATTTTGACTGTACTACTCATTTAAAAAACATGCGTTCTTTCTGAAGGACCCTGTATGTCGCTGAAAATATCTGAAATTGGCGACTTAATTCTCTGTTGGAATCAGGAGATAACATCAGGAGATGATATCCTTAATTCTGAAGCTACACAGCTGTACTACATTCGTATTCGAAACAAATTTCACCGCGAATTTCACATATTTCCAGCAACAAGCTAACTTAGTTTTGAATACTATCCGCTGGTGCTCGCCACCCTTAGTGGATTATTTAACTGTTAATAACCCGCTATGGGCTAAGCACGTCAGTGCCTTGTACATCGCTTCTTCCGTATGCTGTGAGACGATGCTTTAAGATGAGCTAAGCCTAAAATACTGTTCGGTGTCTTGTAGGGAAGGCTTAAACTTTTATTTAGACACTTGACAACATCAAAAACAATTGTTAACATGGATTTTAAGTACTGAAACTGATCATTTTAGGGACATTCAGAATGTCCACGGACTCTTTTATCTCATTTTTGCTTTTTTTCTACTACTTTTTTCCTGAACTGCTCCAATACAGTAACCCTCCTTTATACACGTTACAGTAATAATAATAATAATAATAATAATATTTATTCACTCAATGTACAAAGATTTTCCCCGTCCTTTACATTTTCAGTCGCTGGTTCTCGCATTTAGAAGTGCCGCATAAGTAACCTTCCTCCTCGGTCTTCAATTTTCAATTACTAGTAACATTACAATAGATCATTTTCATTCATATCAATGTATGACCAGAGATTAGCTATTCGTTTATAATCATTTCCAAAAACACATTTTCTAGTACTTCTTTTGAGGACTTCGACCTGTGGACACCCTGAGGCACTTTTTGGCCAAAATGATCCAAAAACCTAAAACATCTTTGTCCAGAACGGAAATGACAACTTGGGTATGAAAAAGAAAATCGAGTTGGAAAATTTCGCCCACGAATGTGATCTGTTCGACATATTCATATAATATGAAATATACCTTTTCTAAACATAATTTTGATTTTCTTTCAGAACTGGACGTTGAGTTGGAACACCACCGATCCCGACATAACGAAATGCTTCGAGAAAACAGTGCTAGTATGGATTCCATGCTTTTTCCTATGGACGTTTGCCGCGCTCGAGGTGTACTACATACTAAGTAGTAAAAAACGGAACGTTCCCTGGAACTGGTTCAACATTAGTAAATTGACTATAATAGTGGCGCTAATCGTGTTGACATTGGTGGATTTAGTGACAGCGTTTAAATCGGCCGCATCTAGTGAGAGTGCCGTGTACAGTGTTGACATTTATTCGCCGTTGATTAAGATTTTTTCATTTGTAAGTATAGCAACGACAAACAAATCGATAGAGACAATGAAGTGTTTCAACATAAAGGCCTAGTCCTGCAACGCGCTCCAATTTGTGCGCTTGGAGCATACAGGCCAAAACAGTACTCCTAAACACAAAACTAGTTCAAACGAATGTTCTTAATGACCGAACTAAGTGAACTAGTTCATCATTCCGCGGAAAACTCGTTCACCACGCTAGACTGGTACTACCCAAAGCCACAGATCCAAGCGAACTAGTTGTGAATGCACGAACGAGAACGAGATATATGACGTAGTCAACCTAGTAAACAGAATGTTGTATAACTGGTTGCTTGAATAGGATCGTGGTTTAGCTCAAAAATATCGAACAGGACAAAATGAATTTATAGGTATTAAAAAAGATGATAACAAATGCTGTTAGTTACAAAAGCTGAAAGCAATAAAAATTGAATAACTTTTATGCAACATATCCCCCATTGAGGCTGATAATAATAAATAAATCAAATAAATAGTAAAAATAGTAAAACGTCAATTAACTACAAATTTCGATTAAAAAACATTCTTTTAACTTTATCAGCTTCTGATGTATTTCTTGGCTTTCGTCTGCTATACTAAAAAGACAACCGCTAACCCGAAACCTTAATCAAAGTCATTTATCACGAAAAGTCAAACAAAAAACAAAAGTGTCTGCCGCATTATTTGATGTTAAACTAGTTATATAGCTTTTGTTATTGAACACACTAGATATATAGCTTTCCTACGTTGTCCTACCTGAGGCCAAGCCTAGACCACGCTGCATGAGTTGCCAAATAGCACGAAACAGCTTCCGTTTATGGTCGGATGAACGAATTACTAGTTTGTTCAATGGTGAGTAGACTGTATCAACTATAGCACCGGAATCGGCGGCATCTAACAGCCACAGTGGTGACCCAGGTGGCAATGCGATTTGAGATACAGTTCCAACAGGTGAACTGATTTCACTCTCGTAGCTGCCGATTCTGGTAAAAGATGATGTGCTGCCTTATATTTCGATTATTTGAAATTGTTAGAAAACGTGTATCTCGTAGCTACTATGTGAGCGACAGTTTACGTTGAGTATTTAAATTTGAAACAACAAAAAAAAAAAATTGGATAACAAAATAGTTAACAGTACAAGGTATTCCGAAGCGGTTATCCATCCAAATACTAACCGCGCCCGAGCCCGCTTAGCTCCGGTCATCGGATGAAAGGCGGCTTTTTCACTGGCATAATAACGCGTATGTGGTATTGTTGCGTTAAATAGTTCGTTCGCGAACTAGTTCCTAGAGCTAGTTCGTTTTAGAGAACGAAACCTATTGAACTAGTTCACTGAAATTAACTAAAAAGCACATCATTACACAAAACCTCGCGTAACTGAAACATTGTCACATTTTTCGTACAACGTGCCAAAAGCGTATGCTCCAAATATGATCTGAAACTACTATTTTGTCATTTCCAAAAGCGCAACCACAATGCAGCAAGTCTAGATGTGTCTGTAGCTAGCTGGCTCGCTCACGTTAGCATTTATCCTTGTAGACATCAAAACGAGTATACCCTATTTCACGAGTATACAGGGTGTCCGCAAAGTTGGGGTTTTCCTTTATACGACGTGTAGATCTTGAAAACATAAGCAATTTTTCTTAGTACCATATACACCAATGTCTTAAGGGAACCGAGACAAAGGGCTCTGCAACATAAAAAATATCTGAATACCGTCCTGTAGCCGCGACATCCCCAAGTGGTATTAGGACACTAGCTCAACCCGACGACAGAACTGGGTCGGGGTCAGTGTGTCAGGTCAGTATGCAACCTTCAACTGACGGTTACGGTCACGCGTGTACAGGTAAACGAACCCGTATAAACGATTGCGTTTCAAAAAACAAAAAGCACTAGAGACGTGGCTATAGAAGTGCAAGTATCAAAAACTAAAGTGTGGCAAACGCTGCGTGAAGAGGGGCTGTATCCGTTCACGTCCAACGTGTACAAGCCCTTCAACCTGACGATTTTCCAGCAAGAGTGCGGTTTTGTGAGTGGTATTTGCATCAACATGACAATAATCCCGACTTTTTGAAGTGCATTTTGGTGACAGACGAATCTACGTTCACGCGTAATGGGGTGAATAACTTTCGCAACACTCATGTTTGGTCAGTAGAAAATCCGCACGCCGTCCGTCGGGCACATTTTCAACAAACATTTTCGGTGAATGTTTGGGCTGGCATGGTGAGCGGTATGCTCATTGGACCATTTATTCTCCCAAATCGATTGGACGGGATGCAATACCTATACATTTTGCCTTCCTTGTTTGCCTGCGTCTGCTCGGTAGCGCATCAGCTGATTTCATTTTCTGTTGGAGCGGTATGATTTCGGGCAGAGACGTACTTAGCCCTTCTCGTCAACTGGAGAGTGAGTACTTTTTCCTTTATTTTTTTTACTTGGTCGCCCTCGCTCCACTATACATTACCTTTGTTATTTCAAGGGTAGTTGTTTCTGAAAAGGAAAACCCCGACTTTGCGGACACCCTGTATATTTCACGTACTGAGGTGAACAGCTGATCAGCAAGTGACATTTTTGTGTTAGTCTGCGACGTTGGTAATAATGAATCGGGTGTAAATCTAGTAAAACTTGTTTGTAGTGTTTTGTTCTTTGTATGGAAATGAACTTTTCTACATGAAAGAGCTGTTAGCAAGTACAAAATGAATCTGTAGCATACAAGACACCAAAACAAAATACGGCTCTGACTACCTGACATTGTCTGATCCGTCAGAATTATGTGTCCCGTGCCGATATGGGGAATTTTGAGATATTACTAGATAATCAGCTGTCATTCTACCGTGATGGATCCTCGTGAAATAGGGTATACTAGTGGTTGGTGTTTTGTTAACCACATTGTAATATTTATGTATTTTTTTCTTAGTCTTGCAAATACAAGTACATACTAGGCTCAGAAGTCGACATTAAGCTATTAGAAATAATTTCCCAAATACCTATTATAATGCCAATAAATGATGCAAATTTTCCTGCAATTAATGTTTTACATAGATGCTTAAATGAATGTGTCATTATTTTTATAGATATTTTCTGTATTGCGTTTCTATGTTAGTGAAATAAATCATACTGTAACTCTCATCCCGTCATCTCTCTCAACAGAGAGTATGTTGTTGACATTAAAGAAAGCACTGTTCCCAATATGCGCCAGGCGGATCAAACTTAAAGCTTCGCACCGCAACGCGAATACCTAAACCAAACGCTTAACGCTTTTGTTGTACGACATGATTCGCTAAGCCTTCTGAAAATGTATTGCCTTCAAGCGAAAGAACTAGAATATCGCCCCAGTTTTGGTGGTCCACACGACGTTCCACGTACTAGGGGCCGAGCATTTGCACGATGCGTTCCCAAGTGTTGGATTGCTAGGATTTGCTTGTACGCGCCAATCTGCAGGAAAGACCGCACGAGTAAACGGCAGGGTTATTACGTAAAGGACCTATATAATGTAAAACAATGATAAAATGTCAACTTTTGACTAGATAGATGGTAGTATGCAAATAGTTCATTCCGCGCCTGCTACAAGTTTGCATGGAATGAACGACAGCTAGTTCGTCGTTGACATCTTGTAGGACAACCTACATAATGTCACTTTTCAAGTTACCTAGTAGCCTAGTACCCCTGCTGGCCTAATAGCCTAAGCTGACAATTACTCGCAGGTGCCGAATAATGCTACTGAATCCGCCTAACAGTTGCAGAAGGCGGTCCTCATACGCTATCAGTACTGTCATGTCATTCAAGTAGTTAATAGCACAGATACTATTATCTTCGTCCTCGAATGTTTAGAATCCGGTAAAAATCTAGTTTGATTACACATAGTCAAACTGATATTCGAAAAACTCTCGAAATATCGATAATCCTTTCAACTATGGCTGATATGATTCGTTTTATTAAATAATGTTTGAAGATCCTTATAATAACTCGGACACATTCCAGCACATGTGTCGCCGAGCAAATAATAGCAATAGAAGTTTCCTAAAATACAAAAGTTCTGAATATATAGTTGCTGCCCATCCAGAAAATGAGTTTTTGATTTCGTAGGAGACTCGGGAAGTGAAGGTTTTAGACCCTCGAATAAAAACAATTTTTCAAAAATACCTCATATAATTGCCAAGGTGATAAATCTCTTTCAAAGTCAAGACTGTCTGACCTGAGTAGTACTGTCTGAAGAGTAGTGGTGGGGATAAACGCAAATGTATGTAAACACTTGCTAATTGAAAGCAAATACAATTTTGATTTAAAATTAATGTTCCTTGTTTTATTTATATTCATCAAGCGACTAACCAATTAAATAGTTTAATTGCCATTCTCATGGATTAGACGTGGCAACAACCAAATAACTACCCGAATTTTTTTCCGCATTCTATTCACCAACACTGATATCCTGGTCGACACTGTATTTATTGTTATACCTGTTTAGTTATTTGTTGCCAAGGGAAAGAAAGAATTTAATTTGCTATCAGTTATTTTCGTGACAATCTTGGGATAGTGAAAATTAATTTATTGATTCAGATTTTACTTCCAAAATGGCTTACACACTAGCTGAAAGAGTGGAAATTATTCTAATTTATGGTGCCCAAAATCAATGTGCTCGGCAAACTGCCGTCACGTTTAACGCCAGGTATGTTGTGGACCTTGTTAATAAATACTCAAACTGGATCTGCTGCAAATAAAAAACATGATCATTGGAGAGTTTTGGATGAAGCCGCTCAAGTTGAAGGGTTCATTTGGGATAAATCCTAATACTTCATTACGCAAAATTGTTGCTGCGACTGGTATTGCATTATGCTTTGTACACACAGTTACTAAACTCCATAAATATCACCCATTCAAAATGAAAATATTGCAAGAATGAACCGGATATGATTTCGATAGGCGAGTTGAGTTTTGTGAACAAATGACTGCAGCGATTAATGATAATACCATTCATGTAAAGAATATCTGTTTCAGTGATGAATGCACATTTTATCTAAATGGATTAGCCAATAGGCATAACTGCAGGTATTGGAGCAATGAAAATACTCATGCTTTTGTAGAAGGACATACCCAGTACCTCCAAAAAATTAATGTATGGGCAGGCATTTTAGGAAACAATGGAGACATTTATTAGGATATGTTGGAAAATAACATCAATCCGCTTATCAATGAAACCATTGAAAACCAAATTGAAGAGGATGGAAACTATACTTGATGAGGGTGAAATATATTTCCAATAAGACGGCGCTCCTCCTCACTTTGTTCTTCCTGTTTGCCAATGGCTAGACGACGAGTTTCCAGATAAATGGATAGGGCGATGCGGGCCTGTAGAATGACCTGTTATATCTCCTGATTTGATCCCATTAGACCTTTTTCTATGGGGTCATTTTAAATCTATTGTTTTCTCCTCAACCTGAAAGTTTGGATGAACTTCGTCAACGAGTCATCGAAAGCTGCCACGATATCCCACAACGTTTTGAAAATGTCCGTCAGGAATTTGAACATCGCCTAATATCATTGTTTGGCCAATAACGGGAAACATTTTAACCACTTGTTGAAGTAAAAAGTGATATTTTCTTGTGAATTTGTTTTATATCTGAACAAATTAAGATAAATAAAGATTTTTGTAACTTTCTTGAAGACGAATCGAGTTTAAAAAATTAAATATCAAAATAAAGTACTTCGAAAGATCTTTCAAACAAGCTATTACTCCATACCCTTTGACATGAAAAAATTTTAAGGGGATGAGCCGGGGTGGGGGTGGGGGCAGAGGGTGAAAAGGGGTGAAGTAGTTTTTGGTTAAAAAGTTGTCCCCCTTGACAAATCTTTTGACGTGTCTCCGCGTTTTTTCTTTTAATCAGTGGTTTTCGATAAATCCGTGGTGGGAAGTTTTCAAATGATAATAAAAAATACCCAGTCAGTCTTTACATTTTTTATCAGTGTGCTAATTATTTTGACAGGCCCTAGCCACAGTCTTGCTGTACTACAACCGCAAACATGGCCACCAAACATCAGGACTGCTATTCATGTTTTGGTTTTTGCTGGCGCTTTTTGGCTCCATACAATTTCGAACTGAAATTCGGGCAGCACAAAGCAGGGAACTGGAAGGAAGGGATCATTATGAATACATCAGTTATATGGTGTACTACCCCTTGGTGCTACTTCAATTGCTGCTCAACTGTTTTGCGGACAAGAAACCGTTGGAGATGAAGCTCACCAAACCTGAGGTAGGATTTCAAGTCCATGTATAAACTCTTACGTTCCGCACGACAACCGTAACGCAAACCTTGAATCACGCACTTGACGTTAAACAATTCCGCAAAGTTCGTCCGCTATGCTGACGCTAGACTTGATGAGTTTTAACTTTCTGCTGTTGCTGTTCCCGATTTAACCAATGAAACCAAGGGAGCCTGCAAATCACGTGTTTTTTTGCCACAGGCCAGCGAATTTTGCGCGTGCTTTTCTCGCTGTTTGACATGACATATGTTTTGTGTTGCTCGGCGTGACTTCGCTTGAGACTGTTTGTTATATTCTATTTATTTCATTTGGATAATATAATATATCAGAAGATGTCTGTTACAAGTTTGGTCTTCAAATATGTGAAAAAGAATGCAATTTTGGGTTAGGTTATGCGTCACCTGCCGTAAAACGTTAGCAAGCTTATAGGTCATTTTTAACTGACAGCGGCAGCGTTATGGTAACGGTACGCCGGCAGTACGGCAACGTCAGTGTTTATAAATCGACCTTCAGTCTAGTTCGCAGAAAAGTCCAAATGGAGGTTCTGTGGCAAAAAATTCTTAAAGAAAGCAACTTGCGCAGGTCACAAACTATAAGTGTTCCGAGTTCGCATCGAAACCATCAATCAATCAATCAGTAGGCTTTATTCAAAGCAACTTGGTTACAAAGAGGAAAAGAATGAATTAATAACTTGTTTCAGCATATACCGTGAAATCGAATCACTAAAAGGAACAATTTGAACCAGCGCTAAACTCGGTACGCTGCGCTGGGGTAATTTGGAACTCTGCCATTCAGTATGGTTATCAATGAATACTTAACTTGAACTTGGAAAAAGAGACTTTTGATGCCTTTCGTCGATATTAAGTTTTTGTAAAAATGTAACATATTAGAAACGTTTTGCTGTTTTAGCGTCCATGTCCTGAACAGTATGCCAGCTTCTTGTCCAAACTTTTGTTTACGTGGTTTGATCCACTGGCCTGGCTTGGTTATAAGAAACCATTGGAAATGAAGGATTTATGGGAGATGAACCCAGAAGATTCGTCCAAAGAAGTCGTACCTTTGTTTGAAAAGCATTGGCGGAATACGTTGGAAAAATGTGGCAGGTTACTATTATAACATATTTTTTGTAAAAACAACAGTTATAATTTCACAGCCGTACAAAATGTAAAAAATTATGTAATAACTGATTTTAAATATCTCCGATGTACTGATTTTAAAAATGCTCTACATTTTTCATTATAAGCTCTGGTTTTCAAGATATAAGCGATTTGATATTTGAGAAAGTGCAAAATACATGTAAGACCCAGAAAAACAATCCAGAAAAACGAGAACTTATCGTTGCGATGCTTTTTACATTTTAAGTGAGCTTACATTTCGAAGTAGAAGGCACATACTTCCATTTAATAAACATCGTTGACACGATAGGTCAATTATAAGTATACTAAGTGACATATAAATCCAGTTTAAGTGGTTTTATTTTAATAAATTTTTGTATAAGTACTTAATGAAGCATAATAAGTAAATGATAAAAATTTCAAAATGATTGCACTGCTTTAAAGCCCTTTGACCTTTAATAATGTGTGGATGCACCCTGATGTGCTACGCATTCTCCAACGCGCCTAGGCATGCTTCTGATCAGGCGGTCAATGTCCTCCTGTGGTATCTCATTCCAGGCAACCACCAACTCCTCACGAAGTGCTTCTAGAGTCTGAGGAGGACGTTGCAAATTGAGCAATCTCCTACCCATCATATCCCACACGTGCTCAATTAGGGATAAGTCGGGAGATCTTGGTGGCCATGGTAACAATGTGACATCATTATGTTGAAAGAAGTCTATTGTGACTCTTGCAACATGTGGTCGGGCATTATCTTGTTGGAGAGTTGGATCTGCCAGGGTGTCAAGATAGGGTAAAAGATGGGGTTCTAGAACTTCGTGGATATAATGCTGCGCGTTCATGTTACCTCTGATGAAGATTAAAGGTGACCTGGAAACATAGGCTATAGCACCCCAAACCATAACTCCAACAGGGTGATGAACATGTCTTTCAACAAAAAACTGTGGATTCCTCCTTTCACCACGTCGCCTTCTAACCCTGGCACGACCATCGTGCATGCCTAAATAAAATCGAGACTCGTCACTAAAGACAATACTGTTCCATTCCTGATCCCAGAGTGACCGTTGTCTGTACCACTCAAGGCGATTACGTCGGTGTTCTCGAGTTAAAGGGAGGACCCAGTGTGGCCGGTATGAAAACAAGCCAAAACTTCTCATTCGTCGGTAAACACTTCGCATGCCAATAGGTCTTCCGTGTTCTGCAAACCATTCATTTGCAATGGACCTGGTAGTGGAGAAACGGTCCCTTAAGGCCAATAATCTTAGGCGGCGATCTTCACGGTCTGTTGTTCTACGGCGGCGTCCAGTGCCCCTTGCTCTTTGCGTACGGCCACCTAACCACAGTGTCTACACTTCTTTGCACTCTAACTGCAATTGCCCGAAAAGAAATTCCAGCTTCCCGAAGTCCCACTATACGGCCCCTATCAAACTCACTAAGTTGACGAAATCGTACAGGTCTCCGTACTCTAGGCATCGTAACTGATCGTACAGGATGTCAAGAACCAAAATCCGCCAACGTTGATTCTTTACTGCGGCTGAAATATTCATTTTTAGAGCGTTAGTGAATTAAAAAAAAGCAGTATAAAAACCGGAATGTCCAACTGATAAGGCTGAAAATTTTTTCACTTGTTATTTACAGTAAGATAAATACATTCACCAACTTTTATTAAAATAAAACCATTTAAACTGGGTGTTCGGATTTATATGTCACTTAGTATATTTAGAAAACAAAGGTCTTCAATAACAATCAAAAATGAACCGGACTGTTTTACGCGCCATAGGTGAATGGAGTGGGGCGACGTCTTGGTATGTGTTGGGTAGGGATGTCAGGCAGAGGGAAGTCAGTCGGCTTGGCGCGCCGAAGTAGATGAGCTGTTAGTAGCATCATATCTGAGGAAGAATTGCTCATGTCTGTTGAGCAACGCATTAGCATAAAGTTATTGTCGCGGGAGGGCGTAAAACCTTCCGAAATTTTGCCTCGAACAACACCACAGTTCGGCGATAAGAAAGTTTCAAGGACACAAGTATACGACTGGCAAAAACATTTTCTATGGAGTGGCGAAAGCCGCGAGAGGCAGACCGCGTAAAGCTAAGATAAGTCTTTCTATAGAAAAAGTTCTTGCAATGGTATTTTCGGATTCCAGAGGTGTATTGCTAGTTAATTTTCTTCACGATCTCCGTATTGTTAATGCTGCTTACTTCTGCCAACTGCTTAAAGAACTGAAACTGGCCTATCAGTGAAAAAGGCGAGACTTGCCCATTGTGTGTGCCATTCTGCTCCATGACAACGCTCGGTCACATTTAGCTGCATCGACCAAATAATAATTATGCGAAATTATTTGGAAAACACTTGAACACCCGCCTTACGGTCCCTATTTGTCGCCTTGTGACTATCATATGTTTGGGCCACTTAAAGAAGACCTGGGAGAGTCACCACTTTGACGACGATAAAGATGTGGAAACGTTCGTGCACATATGGCTTTTGACACGAACAGCTTCATTCTTTGAGGAGGAAATCAAAAAACTTCCGATCCGATGGCAAAAATGTATCAATCAGAGAGAAAAATAAAATGTAAATAAACTTGTATTTACTATATCAATAAAATTGTTAAAACAAAAGTCGGGTTCATATTTGATTCACCACCGTATTACGCAGTTATTCCAACCACAGCTAATACGAATGAAGATATTTTTGAGATCAGCGCATCTAGAAAACAAAGAATTCAGTTCTTAATTCTCCGTCATCAAAATGGCTGTTTTGCTGTGTGTTATTCATATTACTGAATTATTAATATGGAGCCGATTTTTGTAGAGTTCCGCCAGCTACACAAGTGCATGCAAAATATAAGCACAACAGAACTCAAGTGGACTTCATACAAAGCCCGAAAAAGAAACAAGCATCTGTATTACCAGCGTTAATAAAATCATTTGGACCAATCTACTTGTTTGGGGCGTTTTTGAAGCTATTGCAAGATTTGCTCACATTTGTCAGCCCTCAAATATTGGGGTAAGTAGGCAACTTTAACTTACGCATGTGCTTGAATCTACGCCTTTTGGATTACTTTTGGCGTACATATCAGAAAAATACACATCGCTTTATCGGTCTGTGAAACGGTGTGTCTGCGGCATAACCGCATATTCCCAGGAAATACTGCACTAATTTATAGTATTCAAATCTGATTTGCGCCCCGTCAAAATAAACACCATCGTTCAACATTTAAATTCGCGCGCTACTGTTAGCGAACGAGCCATAGACGCTACATTATTACACTATTACGCGTAGTGTCCACAGTCTTGGCGAAACAATTTGATATGGAGCTTTGGCGTGAGTCTTGAAGGGCTGAACATTGTTATTAATGCATATGTTTCTCTATTTCAGCCTCTTAATTTTGTTCGTACAAGATAAACAAGAAACATGGAAAGGCTATTTCTACTCAGTCCTTCTCCTGGCTACCGCTATGTTGCAAACGCTCCTGCTTTCGCAATACTTTAACAGAATGTTCGTCATAGGCATGCGTATTCGAACCGCGCTCATATCCGCCATATACAGGAAATCCTTGAGGATATCGAATACTGCCAGGAAGGAAAGCACGGTGGGTGAGATCGTCAATTTGATGGCTGTCGATGCTCAGAAGTTCATGGATCTTACTGCATACCTGAATATGATTTGGTAAGTATTTGAAAAGTTTAGAGCAGTGTTTCTCAAAGTAGGCAAGTGGGATATACCGCCTCCTTGTAGGCGCTTGGGACCTACGAAGGGGGGTAGAGTGGACGAAGAGCCTAAAAGAAATTGGGGGCGAAACAATAGACAATATAGACAAATTTATTCCCCGCTCTTCAATTGTCACAAGGACTGACGTATACACCACCTACCTCCCATCCCCCCTCTTCAATTTTCAATCGCAGGTATCACCAATGATGAAAATCTTGAACAATTTTGGGGGGGCGCTAGAAAATAATTGATTCTCAATGTGGGTAGTAGTCGAAATAAGTTTGAGAACGTCTGGGATCACTGGTTGACTCTCGTAGAGAAGCGTTGTTAAAACTACTACTCTGTGTGTACCCGGTACTCGGCATGCTCTGCTTATTACACGGAGTATTCGGTTTTTCCGAGTTTAAATTGCTCGGCCGGGTAATTACTTGGTATCTACGCACACAATTTGTGTAAACCAAGGAATTGCCGACGAGAAGTGAAAAGGCTGAGCTGACATGCCCTTCCAAGTCTTCCTTATATGTTTTCCTCGAAATTAGTGCGCCATAAAAATTAGCTAAGATTACCGTATCTTTTTGCCGGAATTATGGAAATAATATTTTATAGTAAATGTCAGCCGTCCTTTTATCTTCTCCAAAAAAAAAAAAAACAAAAAAAATCGCTAAGCAAAGTAAATAAAATTCAGCAAAGGTCGAAAAGCGACGTGAATAACAAAAATTTCGAAATTTTGCAAAGAAAACCTTTACTTATATGAAAAGATAATTCAGGTTTAATACTTTCCAAACCCGAGTTGCTCCCACTACGACATTCAGCAATTTTAATTTGTCTCTCTTGTATCCTCCTTCCAAAGGTTCAGAAACATATAAGGCTTTAATTGGGGCCTGGCGTTGTCTATATTCAACAAAAAGAAGGTTTAAGAGGATGAGTATATCCTTTTGAATGTCTTACAGATGTGCTTTTTTGTAATAGTAGGGATTTTAAAGTAAATCAAAAACAAATGTTCCAGAAATGTAATGTCAAAATATGATTCCTATTTTAACTTAAGATTGTAGCTCTACTGAATTCCACGGCGATGAGCGTATACCTAACTGTTGCAAGATTCTTAAATATTTAAAAAACAAAACTTCTGAAAATATCGTTATTACACAAAATCTGGTTAAAGCTGCACAAAAATATTTTTGGGATGGTGCGTTGATTTCTTACAAATGAACAATTTTGAAAATAAAGGGTCCTTTCAAAAACGCAAATGTAATATTAATTATACCAGCAGTAGTTGAAATAACCCAGAGCCAACTCGACTGATTATCCGGTACAACGCTTTTCGAGAAAAGCAGTACTCCATGCTTCTCTGGTTAAAACCGAATGAAACTCGGCATAATCAGATAACTCGACTTTGTTCTATGATATATTTTGTTTGTTTGCTGAACATTTATTTAGCATTAATGTAACAATGTCAATTTCGTATAATTACTCTTTTACACACTCTGTATCAATTTTCTGTAATTTTATATTCTTGTCTATTAAAATTACATCGCTATGCATTTTGGTGATTTTTTTAATTTCACCTTAAACACTGTTTTAAAATCATTATTCATTGATTTATTTATTCAGATACTCCCTGTTGAAATACAGATTTTCAGTTTTGCTGCTCTTACAATTTTACAGATGAAAATCTATACTGCCTCTAGTTTCGTAGTTATGATAATGACTATTTAGTTTTGTGAAGTTTTCTAAATGTGGTGGTAATAAATGATTTTTTAATTTAAATGAGAACATGAGAACCAAGTAGCATATATAAATTTTTACTTTCAACCACCGCAGTTCTTCCAACATTGACATAAGCTTAGCATGTTTGCCTTTATTTAAAATGATACTCATAGATTTATTTTGTAGAATTTATAATTTTGAAAATATGTTTTCATTTGCCGTAAAGAAAATAGTTGAACAGTATAAAAAATGGGCAAGACTTATGGTGCTGTACACAATTTTTTTGGATTAAATACTGAGATTATCGGAAACTCTGTAGAAGTAATAATAATAATGACGTTATGAACATGGAAAAAAGCAAGGAATAAAAATCTTAGTAAACCTTTCATTTACATCACACTGACACACCGTATTTTTGCTGCCTAGCATAAGAAATACTGAATAAGTCTATCAAATTGCAGGAATATTTTTTTGTGAACGAGCCTATTTAACATCATTTACAGGTCTGCTCCTTTACAAATTTGCCTGTCGCTCTACTTCCTGTGGATGGAGTTGGGACCGCCAGTCCTGGCTGGATTGGCTGTTATGATTACGCTTATTCCAATCAATGGATTTATCGCGAATAGAGTGAAAACCTTACAGATGAAACAGATGAAAAACAAAGATGAACGTGTAAAATTGATGAATGAAATTCTCAACGGTATCAAGGCAAGTAACTTCTCCTTTTAATTTATTATTATATTGTTGACCTTAGCAACTCTTAAATCATACAGGTATACGTTAGAAAAGCATTTTAGTGTCCTTTTTATTTTTACACACATATCTTAAATAATATATGGTCCTTGGGTATTGGAGGTGAAGGAAGGACGCAAGTAGAGCGCAATTTTACGTAAATTATGAACTTTATGTAATAAATTTTGTTATCAATGTTTGCACTTGGTTTTATATTTTCTCTTCTGAGTTTATAATAAAATTACACATTGTAAAATAATCATTATGTTTTTATTCCAAATTTGATTCAGGATTGTTTATTTACATACAAATATCTCTCTCTCTAACTAAGTTTGTTATAATAAAAACAACTACATCAACGTTTGGTACTCTCTGTGCCCAAAGTGTCCTTGGAGAAAATTGGTCCTCTCTAGGAGACTTTGGGAATTGGATAGTTGAAGAAAAATGAAATTGTGGTTGATTGCAGGTGTTAAAATTGTACGCATGGGAACCAAGCTTCGAAAATCAAGTATTAAAGATCAGAGACAAAGAGATCAAGGTATTGAAACAGGCCGCATATTTGAACGCTGGAACGTCATTTATATGGTCTTGTGCACCTTTTCTGGTAAGTGTTGATCATCTGTGAGACGCTTTGTCAAAATTGCATAATAAATTTCATGTTTTAACAGCATTCTCGTTGCTCTGGTGATATTTCACCTAAATCTCAGTTACGGAGCATCTGTATTATATAATGTTTAAGCACAGTACTTGCACAGGTAGTTTCATTTCCCGCCTTTTGACACCTGTGCCATTTTAGTAATTTGGAGATCATGTCGTATTTTCATATATTATATCTACAGGGTGCCACGTACTTACGTGGTTATCGTGAAGTGGTAGGTAGTGTGATCCGAGGCCTTTTCACAGCTGAAAATAAAAATGTTCCAAACTTCAGGCATTTATATCTAAACCCTTCAAGTCTTTAATATCACATATTCCAGACTATTGAACCGATTTTGCCAGGCTCAATTTTTTCACTTTTTTGTTTTGTTTATCAAAATCAACACCGTTCAAGCTGTCTACTGAAATGTTTGACTATGAACAAAAAAGCCAAATAGATGAGTTGCGCGACTTTTAGTATTTTAGTTTTTTTTTATTTATTCAAATGTCCTATTTATCAGCAGTCTATCTAACACAAAATCAAAAATTTCAAGTGGTATTAACATGGTTGCATCCTTGTATGTGGATATCATGCTAGCACAACATGCACATAACATAGCACTTAATAAACGAATACGACTAAAAAAAATCTATACAATATAAATGAAATATGCACATTAATTTTAAATCTTAAACTGACAATGAAGAAAATATATGTATTACTTTTTTATAAATTACATCATATTTATATCAAAAGCCACTTGTATACATCTAGTTTTAAATAATGATATTCGGTTTTTTCTAATATATTTTGGTGAGTTATGATATAATTTTGGACCTAAACATTTCAACATTATTTCTCTCTTTGGTGTTGCAATCATTATTTGTTTATTTTTATTTCTAGTATCATATTCATAATTTTTATAAATGGTTGAATGTTTGTTTTTATGGAATTCTAGTATAACATTATACCAAAAATTTTCTATATCTAAAAGTTTGATTCTATAAACAGCAATTTGGAGGGATATAGCAAAGGTTTGTTATGAATTGTTCTTAAGAATAGTTTTTGTATTACTTGTAGATAATTTAGATGGTTATTATCCGTGGATCCCCAGATAATAATTGCATAGGTTATGTGGCATTCAACTAATGCTTGATATAAAATTTTTAATTGAGTTTCATTGAAAATTTGTCTGCAATATCTGAATTTATATAATAGAAACCTAAGTTTCTTTTTAATGTATTGGATATGTTTATGCCACCGAAGATGAGATATGAAATCCAAAATTAAAACCAAAAGCCAAACTGTGAGGCTTATAATTTTAATCTCAAATCACAAAACTGAACGCGTCAAATAACGAAAGATGGTATCTAGGAAATAGAACCAATAGGATCTATAATTCCCCAAAAAAATGACGCAAAATTTTAACAAACTCTGCCAATTTATTTATGAATTCATTCTTGAGGAGAGATCGATCACAATTTTTATGTTTACACGCTCTCTCTCTCTCTTTTTCTTACTGCCAAACATTTCACTATGTTCATTTAATAACGGAACACCCTGTATAAGATATTCTGTAATGTCGCATATTTATATATCGATTGATATGTTTTTATACTAACTGAAAACTCAAAAGTTTGGTAGAAAACTGCTCATTTCAGTTGCACCTGTCCGATAGTTGTTGGCGTTCCGCTTTTAATACTCCTCCCACTAGGTATTATGGCTATAGAAGATGAAACATGATTAGCTTACACGTTTGCACTTGAGATTGAGGAGTTTTTCTATACCAATACTTATAGAGCATTCCGAATGTTGTATCTATCAGATAGTGTATTTAGGTGACATTCCTCACTCTGGTAACGTATACGTTCACCGATCCACTGAACCCGTTGACTCCAGGCAAGGCTTTTAAATCCTTGTCACTCTTCGCTACGATGCACGTGCCGATGGGATTATTGCCGCTCCTCATTGCCTTCATAGCGGAGGTATTGTTATGGAAAATAAAAAAAAAAAGTGGAGGAAAATGACGGCATGCAACTCATAACATCTCTTCTATCGTATCGAAGGTTATGGGACCATGCACTAATATAATGTTTCCAAAACGACGTCTTGAATTGTGACTATTGCCGCTCCTTATCGCTTTCATAGCTGAGATAGACGAATAGAAGGAACAACCCGGCATGCTATTAGTAAAAATTAACATTTCTATCATATCGATGGTTATGGAACCATTATCTCATAAAGATATTCCAGAACAGGCAGCACGTCATAGAGATAATTGACTATCTAAGGACCGCTTTCATAAGAAATTTAAGTTTGAAGGACTTATGTCAAGAATTCCTAAAAATCGTTGAAATGTGTTGGAAATTCTCATCAATATTGGGTTTTCCAATAGGGACTTGACAACTAACTTTTACCTTTAACCAATTACCGAACTGTCAATGTCAAATCATTCAGTAAAGAAAACATTTTCAACATGCTGAAGTACACGAACGAACAAAGCTTACAAGTAATTAAAATTTACTACCGAAATTCCGAGACGGTGACTGCAACTTTGAGCGCTAACGCCAATTTTTGGTCGAAATTCTCGTCCCAGTAGACAAGCAATTCAAAGTCTAGGAAACAAAATTGAGTCACATATTCGCTGCTGGATGTTCCCGTGCTAGTGAGACAACGGGTCGGTCGCAAAGGAACAGAACATGTTCTCAAGAATTGGGCATCGCTCATACCACACTATGGCGAATTTTGCGAAGATATATTTGCTTGCACCCTTATAAGATCAAGTGAATGAACTCCAGAACTAAAGCCGTTTGATCACACGAATCGACGTACGTTCTCGAATTGGACTCTAGAAATGTTGCAAGAAAATGACCAATTTCATCGCAAAATCATCTTCAGTGATGAGGCGCATTTTTTGCTAAACGGCTCCGTCAACAAACAGCAAACATGCATTATTGGTTAGCTGAAAATCCTCATGTGCTTCAGGAAACACCACTTCATCCACAAAAAATAACTATGGTGTGGTTTTCGTGCCGGTGGTGTCATTCGGCCGTTTGTTCCGTTGATCAAAATGACGTTCACGTTACAGTCAACGGAGATCGCTACAGATACATGTTGGAACGTTATTTTTTTTTGGTCAATTGAATGGGCTAGACATTAATGATATGTGGTCTCAACAAGAAGGTTCCACAAGCCACACAGCCAGTGAAACAATCGACTTATTGAAATTAAAATTCGGTGAACGTGTTATATCGAGAAATGGACCTGTCGAATGGCCGTCTAGGTCGTGTGATTTAACACCTGTAGACTTTTTTTGTGGGACTACAATCAATGGTCAGAGCCAATACTGTACGAAATATAGCGGCCGTTTCTGTCGGAATGTGTGGCCGAGTCATTGAAAATTGGGTTCAACGAATCGATCGCTGCGAACTGGCCCGTGGTGTATGAACGAGGTCGAATTCCATACATAAATGTTTTGAGTATACTTCAATCCAATAAAATTTTCGAAAGATCTCAAATGGTTTGCGTTTTAGTTAAAAAGAAAGTTGTCAAGTCCTTAATGGGAAATCTTTTACTTTATGAAATAATATTGGTTTGTGCTACCTCATCAGGAATCATATTGCTATGATTATATCAAGCTAATGAGCTCTACTACACCTGGAACTATGCAAGCATGACGTATCACCATAATATAATATATTTCAGCCCAAGTAAAAATAACCATCATAGACTATACTCTGGAGTCTGGGTGCATTACTAGTACTTTCACATCCGTCTAAATATTTTGATAATACATATATTGTAATTATATACAAATACTGGAGGAGGTTCCGTACCATTACCACGTGGAACGCAAAATTGAGACTATGAGCATTGATCAACTTATTCTTCTTGAATATCAAGATAGTAACCTTCTAGTGTATTTCGGCGTCAAAAAAAAAATCAGAGTTGAAATAAGATGTCCTGATGTCACAGCTACATTTATTCTTTCCGCGATAATTAGAAACCTACTTTGAATGGTTAAGTACCTCATAGATGGCGCTTTAGCCAACTGCATGAGCATATATTACTATCTTTCTCGTACTAATGCAGAATATGCATTGAGCGCGCGCTTGATTATTGATTATAAAGTACAACGGTTTACAATGATAATAACCGCTAAAACCGCTTTGGGATTTAATTCACGGATGTATTTGTTTTTGCCATTGTTTTTTTGGGTCGGAAATGGCTTATTTCGCGCTCATTCAAATGCTAAGTCGCTTGTGTTTTAAAACCATCAACCTTAGAGAAACGTTCATGAGCACCTTTTTTGTTCAGCATAACCCAAAAAACCTTGACCAGAGCGAAAAAAAAGAAAACAAAATTCTAGATCTGACAACATGAAGATTTATTAAAAGTCCTTTACAATACGAGGGATGCCTTTTAAGTTTTGCATATGGAAATAAAACAACACGGTATGTAGTTTTGAATGACTTTGTTGTTTTTCGAAGTATTCTCCACGAAGATTAATACACATCTGCATGTGCACTTATTCCACTCGTTTGCTGGCAGAACCAAAACGGCATATTTGAAAGCGTCAACTGCCTCTTCTGATGACTGGAACCTTTGACCACGCAGTCTGTTTTTAATTTTCGGGAAAGTAAAGAAATCGTTAGGACTTAGATCGGGACTATATGGAGGATGCTCCAATAATTCCACGTTTTCTTCCATTAAATACTGCCTTGTTGTTTGGGCTGTGTGCGAGCTTGCATTGTCTTGGTGGAGGATGATTCTTCTTTCGGGGTTGATTTTTCGAAGCTCGGCGATGAATTTTGGCAAACAAATTGTGGTATACCAATCCGCAGTAACAGTTCTTTGCTCATTAAGAGGAATTGTTGCAATATGACCCGCTTTTGACACAAATGTCGCGACCATTTTTTTCGAAACACGTCGAGAACGGATGACTTTTGTTGGCTTTTCTTCACCTGGGAACACCCTAGCAGCCGATTATCGTTTATTTTCTGGTTCATAACAGTAAATTCACGATTCATCACCACCAGCAATGCTGTTCACATTTTTTGAGTTTCCGGAATTGAAATGGTCAAGCCTGTTGTGACACCAATTAACCCTGGCTGCTTTCTGCTCTTCAGTCAACGGGTATCCAACGAGAAACTAATTTTCTTGCTCCTAATTCTTCATGTACAATTTTTTGAATTGAGGTCTTTGAAATCTTCAAGGATGCCTCAATCTCACGATATGTCACATGTCTATCTTCAATGATGAGTTTGCGCACAGCATCGACGTTTTCCTGGGTGACTGCCGTTTTTGGTGCACCCACCCTGGGATCGTCGCTAAGACTCACCCGTCCACGTTTGAATTCTCCATACCAACGGGAAATTGTCGACTGATGTGGCGCTTCGTTGCCGAAAACAGACAGTAACCCCGCAAGGCATTCTTGTTGCGATAATTGTCTCTGAAAATTGTAATAAATTATGGCGCGAAAATATTCTCGGTTGAGTTCCATTTTTCTAATGACTTGGTGACACTTGAAAATTCACTGTAGTGAGATCACTGCACGTATTGTTGTGAAAATTTAAATTTAAGTTTACCAAAGAGTGAGGTTAAGATTCAGTACTGACGTTCGATCCGCGCGGTCTACTATGTTTCTATATGCAAAACTTGAAAGACATCCCTCGTATTTAATCAAGTGGATGCGACGATACTTCCTAGACTAATGATGTGAATAGCGATTGCCGTGGTTTAGACAAAATGGCAGAAAAATAGCAAAAAAAGTTGCTGTCAAAACATTGTTTTAATGTTTTACTCAATAATCTTACCGACAGATAAGCTGTCATTTTTTCATTATAGAGCAATTGGCTCACCAATCCGATGTGCATGTCAATTTATCTGATTTTAACACATTGACCGCGCCAGTCACTGGTGATTGACACTGAACCACTCCAATGGAGGACTGATATATACCTATTTTCAAGTTATTTAGAGCTGTCAATCATGAGGTCTGTGTTGAATTTTATGACGAATGCGTCGAACTGAATAAGATACTTATATCCTTGAGTTTCTTAGTCTGGCGTTCAATGAGTTAATAGCTCCTCTGTAGCTTCTTTTCTTCGGCATGCCGTAGGTATCTCTGGTGACTTTCGCAACGTACGTATTGGTAAACGATCGCGAGGTGTTGGACGCCCACAAAGCTTACGTATCTATATCTCTCTTCAATATCATACGGTTCCCTCTCAGCATGCTGCCCATGATGATTTCCAATTTGATACAAGTAAGCAGGTTATTACACATTTTTTCTTCTCTTTTAACATCATAGCATGGTATGTCAGATTTAGAAGTCTTCCACACTGCTTCGACCACCTTTTATTGTATTTATCAAGAAAGTCTAAGTACCCAATCTATAATGATCAAATGACAAATCTTAAATAGGGGAGGATAATTTGATAGATAGACATTTACATTCAAGCTTCGAAGATTATTTAGCTTATGATTGCTTTTTCGTTCGTGTGTTAGTAAAAAGCATAATTGATATCTGTATATTGAAGAACTTATTTAATTTTGTTTTATTCTGTTGGCCGGGAAATCGCCCAATAGGATTTGATTTATGTTTTTATTCTGAATGTCAATGAAACATGGTCATACGTTTCACGTTTCAGATCATCACATCTGATGGAAGTCCAAAGGTTCCGTAGCACAACATTGGCACGAAATTTTACGTTTCAATTTTGCAGGACTATTTTTTCATTTTTTTTTCAATTGATAAAAAAGTGAGAACGCTCAAGACATACTTTTTGGTAGCAAAGATTTATGTTTAGTCGAAATAGAAATGTTGGATAAACCTTTTTCAAAGCTATGTGTGGAAGACTTTCAGAAGTCATGGTTGTAGATCAATAAAGTTGTCATACATGATCAGACTATTATCGAGCTTTTGGATATTAGTGTGGATCTTGGTAAAGCATCTCTCATTTAAAAAATTAACTACATTTACATTTAACCATACTATAATGTAGATTTTGAAAACTATCAAATTTAGTGATGCTGGTGGATTTTGTCCTGTTAAAGTTTGCAACATTACTGCTTTTTGGCTTTAGCCAATATCTTGCGTCATTTTAACAAAGAAATCACAGTTGTAGAGATCTATTTTTTTGTTCTTTCATATTATGGAATTTATATGTTATACGTATACTTTCTTCGATTGTACGTTAAAACATCAGATTTGTTAGAATTTCTGGGTTTGACAGAATCCACCAGTGGCGTAGTCTGCGATATATGTACTAAATTGTTTTCTATTTAGACATACGTATCAGTAAAGAGGATAAACAAGTTCATGAATGCAGAAGAACTAGATCCTGATAATGCTACACACGAACCAAATAACGGTAAGTTAAACAAAAATATACGAAACCTGTTTCTTTACAAAATACAATGCTTTTCAGAATTATTTTTTAAGAAGTTATCAAGGTGAAATTCGAGAGGATGAAACTGACACATGAATACTATAATTTAACCTAACATTTTTCTAAATGGTAATGGGAGGTCAAGTGATACTTCAGGAGTACTTTATACTTCTTCCTGAATTTGCAACATTTGGGACTGTCTAGGTGTTCAATTTTGTTCAATTTAGACGACTTTTGCACAATATAAACAGACATATACAGAAAGAAACATCGCGGATGATGGCGACGTTCAGACTACATTCGCGGAGTAACAGTGCTGATATAAAATCGATAACTACGTTATTCCTCTAGGAATGTACCAATTTCGGTTTTTCAAATGCTGTTTGTTTATAAACTACGTAAACATAGATATCACGCGAAGAAAAAGAATTTCTAAATGCAATAAATACAGGATGCGGATGTCCTATTTATATACTCATTTGAAATGTGTGTTTCAAAGTTATTTCCTGGGATAAAAGGTAGATTATGTGCTATTCCATATTATAATATCTCCAAATTTCATCCAAGTCCGTTCAGCCATTTTGATGCGACTGAGTAACAAACAAAATTTCCCATTTGTAATAGTAGTAGGGATTGTAGTATGGATACCATCGATGATTTCATTTTTTCTTGCAGAAGAACCACTAATCATAGAAAACGGCACATTTTCGTGGGGCGAAGATCCAGTGTTGAAAAACATCAACCTCCGATTCAAAAAGAACACTCTAACAGCAGTAGTAGGCACAGTCGGTTCTGGCAAATCCAGCTTAGTCTCAGCACTCCTAGGCGAGATGGACAAAGGATCAGGGCATGTGAACACCTACGGGTCTATAGCTTACGTGGCACAACAAGCTTGGATTCAGAACGCTACGTTGAAAGACAACATTCTTTTCGGAAAGCCTTTTAACAAGGATAGATATGATCAAGTTGTAGAGGCGTGTGCTCTGACCCCTGACTTTCAGATGCTTCCTGCTGGAGACCTGACGGAGATCGGTGAGAAGGGAATCAATTTGTCAGGAGGGCAGAAACAGAGAGTAAGTCTAGTGTTACGTTTCGCTTTCATAGACAAAAATCTCATAATTATGTTCACATGCAGTGTATAGTTGTATAACAGAAAAACACATTAAACCGTTGATATAAGGTTTGTTCCTAACTTGGGTTCTCTACGAAAACCGTTCGATTATGCACCGTAACAAATTCCAAAATGATCAAAAAACCGGTTGGAACGAAATACAGAATTGATCTGTTACGACAAAAAACAATGTTGGATCATTGTGATCCACTGCGCAAGCGCGTGATCGTTCCATGACACCATTGACCATTTTTGCCGACCCCGTACTAACATCACTGATACCACAGCGTAAGGCACAGCGTTTCACAGGTTACAATATTACAAGATACAGGACCAAACTAGGTTTTTGTTCATTGCTAAATTGCTACTGATGTATATAGAGTGTGAAACATGAACCAGGCCTATATCAATAAATATGATGCTCCGCCCTCTGACGCTATTTTACTTCTCACTCCTGATAGCGAAGTATTGTCATCGCGAATAATTTCAAAAATGATATATGTTTTTTGGATGTTATATGACACTCATTTCCGTCGGTGTATCTGTGTATCCGCTAATCCTTTGTCTGTCTATAACTTGGAATGTATTGCTCGGATTTGCCTGACATTATCACACAATGTTACTACTATGCGAATGACGAAAAAAGTTTATGAAAATTATTCCAGTGGCGGCGAAGAAAAATGCTTAAGGAGAAAAAAGTAAAATAGCTCAAACCTCGATTTTTGATGTATCGGCGGATCCTGGTTATTTTGGAAAAAATTTCTTGGGGTTTAAAATTTGGGGTAAGGGGTTGTAGGGGTTTAAAGTTTATGAAAATCATTCCAGTGGCGGCGAAGAAAAATGCTAAAGTTGAAAAAATTAATATCGCTCAAACCTGCTACTATATGAGGAAAGGTTTTTTCATGGAAAGTCCAAGTACTGCACTAATGGTTCTGACGAACCCCTAGGTTTTGATGTCATTGCACTACATGGACAGTTGTACTAGAAGTTGTTTCGAACGCATTGGGAGCATAGTCAGTCACTTCGCGCCATTTTTCGAGAGGTGTCAACACTGCCATCTAAAGACGGTGGTCGACAGGCATATATTGCGTAATTGATGGAGCGTATATTTATTTTCGCGTAGGCGCGGATTTCAAATGGATTGAATATCTTTTGCTGGGAATATATTCGTCAATGACTATACTTAGTCTCGGAATATCACTTCTAAAAACTGCTTTTGCAGGTCAGCCTGGCTAGAGCTGTTTACTGTGATGCTGACATATATTTCCTTGATGATCCGCTGAGCGCGGTAGACAGCCATGTTGGGAAACATATATTTGATAAAGTCATAGGAAAGGAAGGACTCTTGAATAATAAAACAAAGGTAACTATGAATTTTCAAAACATTCACCTGTCTCCTACAACGGTATATTTCTACTTACGACCAAATAGTCCCGAAATAACGATGATTATCTGCATATCGCTCCCGCTATGCTAAAATATATTTGTAAGTTGGGCAAAGTAAACAGCAAGACAACATTGCCTAGACTTTCGCGGGATGTATAACTGAAATACTTTTATCAGGAGCAATTGCACGAAATAATAATTCGTCACGTAATAATAAGTGGTTTAGGTTTTAGTGACACATGGCATCACATATCTACCTCAAACGGACCAGATTGTTGTCTTGAAGAATGGAGAGATCTCTGAAAGTGGCACATACAAGGAATTACTGGATAAAAAAGGTGCATTTGCAGAATTTTTGCTACAACACATTACGGAACAAGCAGAAAGCGGCGAAGGTAAGTGCAAATGCAATTATTAAATCTGTCGTAAGTGTGTCGTCAATAGCTAGTTTTTAGTGTTCTTGTTGTTGCATTCGATTTTGTGCAGTAGTAAGAAAATCCTTTCTCGTCCGATATCGAAATAAGAAACTTCCGTTATTTCAGGCTATTTTCCTTATACAGCGCTGTTGCGGATGAATTCACATATAAAAGTAAACGCAAGAATAAGGCATGGTCTAAATGAATTGAATTGTCCTGACTTTTCTCATATATGCAAGTTTTTTATTTGAGTTTTGCTGATTTTGTAGTCACTTGTCATTCTGTGGTTCTCTGACTCCAGACCTAATCATTTCTTGTTCGGTTTGAAGCAATAGTAACACAAACGTTAGGCGAAGGCATTATAATTGATACACCTTATATTCGTATACAGGATTTGTAAATTAAGTAATGAGACTGGCAACGCTGGAAGCGCCGGACTTGGAGGGAAGACAGGGGAACATGTGATCCACCTTCAGTATAATTTTGAACTAGCTCTCGTCAGTTGGTTGTCCTAGGCGATTTTTTTTTGTTTTTTCTATTGTATTCTAAAAATGCGAGATCAATTTCGATCAACGATGTGCTGTCAGGTTTTGCTTCAGACTTGAGCACAGTACACAGTTGCTAAACTTCAGCAGGCATACGGAGCCCAGGTTTTTCGATGGCTTAAGACATTTTCAGAAGGGAAAGGGTCGATTAAAGATGAACCACGAAGCGGAAGGCCTTCAAGAACCGATGAAAATACCGACACAATCCGTACTCTTGTGCGTTCAGATCGTCGGTTGACAGAATGATCAAGCATCGTCGAATTTGACACCATTGTTCATCAGATCAACAACAATCCTGTTTTGCTTCACGATAATGCTCCTTGTCACACAGCAATGCCAATAAATGAGTTTTTGCCCAGCAAAGAACCTTCTTCAGCACTGTATGGCTTCAGAAGTTATTTTGAGGGTGCCAATATAAAACTGTAATTATATTTCAATGAAATATATATATATATATACATGGTGTAAACGTTATTATTATTATTTAAATGGGTGATAGACGGGGTTAAAATAAACAAAAAGATTCATATAACATGGGGGTCAAAACGGAACTGCTTTAGAGAAAAGCGACTTTAAATTAAAATAAAATCTGACAACGCCGCAATGCCAGACGCAAACAACGACGGAACGCAGTGTAAATAAAGATGGAGTTTGTTATTTTTGGATCTTTGGTATTATTTCATTATACGATAATGTACTCGTAAAATGCAAACAATTAAAAAACGGACTTAACACTAACTGTCTCAGCGCTTCACCTGATGTGTGAAAGTTTCCTGAACGTATTAAAAAAATCCAAGTAGGGAACACAATTTTGATACATACATTGTTTTTCTTTTTAAAACCCACACTGCACTTTTTTGTATTTAAAGAAGGTGTTCAAAATGTCGTCCTCTACTTTCCACACAAGCTTCATTACGACGAACCCAGTTTCTTTTTACTTTAGGTCCTTTTTTCGCGAAGTTGTGCTTCAGTTATTATTGGACCAGCCCCATAGACCATCCCTTTAAGTTCTCCCCAATACCAGAAATCCATCGAATTGAGGTCAGGAGATCTTGCTGGCAATTTTCGAGGATCAGGAGCATTTCGACCGATCCAGCGATTTGGATAATGTTCATTCAAATACTGAATGACGCCTCTAAAAATGTGTGGTGGTGCCCCGTCATGAAGAAACCACAAATTCTGTCTCCGTTGTAATGGCATATTGTCTAAGGTCTGTTTCAAAAGTTCTGGTAGGTTATTGGCTAGAAAGCTAAGGTATCTTTCTCCTGACAACTTTGGGGGTAACTCGAAAGGGCCAATTACCTGATCGTCAAGAATACCCGCCCAAATATTTATTTTAAACCGTTACTGGAAATGACCTTCACGAAAGTTATGAAGATTTACTTGAGCCGACGTGTGAGTATTATGGAAATTTAATATCTCCTCTCGCGTAAAAGTACATTCGTCCGTCGCTAGAATGTTTTTAAAAACATCCGGAATTTCAATGTTTTTGTGCAAAAACACCGACAGAATGTTAGTCTACGAGGATGGTCTTCTGGTAACAAGGCGTGCACTCGTTGTCCATGGTAGGGATAAAGCAAATTTTCCTGTAGGATTCTATGGACTATGGTATGCGATAGTTCTACGCGGCAGCCTAATTCCCGAGTGCTGATATCTGCATTGATTTCCACGATATTTAAAATTTGTTCCCCCTGCTCTACAGTAACCTGTCTTTCACGAGTGCAAATATTAGTGGTCTGAACTCTTCCTGTATCTCGAAGTCTTTGGTACACTTACACAAATGCCCTTCTGTCTGGGTGTACTCGTTGGCGAAATCTGTCTGCGATAAATTTGAGCTGCAAGATTTGAATTCTGACGAGCTTCACCGTAAACTAACAACATTTCGGCGAACTCTTGATTCGACAACATTGTAAATATCACGACGACGTACGCTACCAAAAACAGAAAACACGCCCGATGCCCGATAACTAACCATTGTCACCGTTTGCCATCGACCGACGCGCCTGTATATATATATATATATAAATCATCTCTTAATTTACAAACCTCGTAGATATTCAACTTACGATTTCTTATTTTGGCAGAGCTGGACGAAATCAAAGACCAACTATCCGGCTCAATGTTATCCGAAGAAGTACACAAACTGAGCAGAAACCGATCTCGAATATCCGAATCCGTATCCGAATCTGGTTCCGATAAAATGGGCAACGGATCTTTGCAAAGACGAAGATCAGAAGAAAGTCAAGAACGGTCGATAAAGAGGGCCACGTCTGTTTCGACTGAGGATGTCAAGAACGGGCCTGTGCAAGGGGAGAAGTTGATCGAGGTTGAGAAAGCGGAAACAGGTGAGTTCAAGCTTTACATTTTGGTCATTTTTTGAAAAAAAAAATCAATAAAAAAACGGAATATTCTTGTTTTAACAAATCAGGTTCAACAAATTTCTTCGTTTTCTGAATACTTTAGCTCCTTAAAAATATTTTTGACCACGTCCTGAAGTAATCAGCCTATTAAAAAAGATCGACAAATGAAGTTTCAAAAGTAATGCCTCCCAAAAATGTTTTGACTACGCCTAAAAATTATGAGAAACACGTAACAGACAGATAAACAGAAGGAATTTTCTCGAATTTTTCCCTTGAATGCCTAAAAAACTTTTTTCTCTTGGACAACGTCAGGATATGCTTTCTAGTCGGTTACTCTATTTTTTAAAATATATCTTTGCTTCCAAAATTAAAATTGCGTTATATCTGACGCATACAAATTGAAGCAAAATTCATTAAAACTGTATTATTATTTATTTCAGGCAGTGTCAGTTGGGCGGTGTACAAGCATTATATCAAATCTATTGGTTTGTTGTTAATGTTGACTACTCTTGTACTGAATATGGTGTATCAAGGCTTCAGTGTCGGCTCTAATGTATGGCTAGGAATTTGGGCGGACGATAAAGACATAATAAAGGTCTGTATTTCATGTTAAGTTTCGCAAACAATATTCTTCAACTCGTAAATTGAACCCCAATCAGCACTGGATGGAATGTTTTTGAAAAGAAAATTTGCTATAAAATTATGAAATATTCCATTCAATCACATCTAAGGGGATTGGTTACTTTTTTTACAGAATGGTACAGTGGACACAGCTAGAAGAGATATGTATCTGGGTGTATACGGAGCGTTAGGAATTGGACAAGGTAAGTGGTAGACGTTAGATACTTTTGCATATGCTCTAAGATCCAGTATTATTAGATTTTTGTATAATATGTACATAGCTATGTGTTTAGTGTAGGTCTGTAGGTTATTTCAATTAATATAATATTCTCATTTAGTTTTTGGAAAAATATATCTACTTGCTCGTAAAAATCCATTTATTTTTGGTAAAACATGAATGACAAAATGTTCCGTTTATTTGAAATAACACGTAATTTTCGAGCAACTTTCAGCATATACATACTTAAATGTATGTAGTTTGAAAATCATTTTTTTATAAAGACTAGATGATAACGATGTTCATGATCAGCGTAACTTATTCTATGGTACAGATATAAAACAAGTATTTTCGATTCTGAATACATATTATTTTATGCAATAACGAATACTTTTGAGTACATTTTTTTTTCATTTTTGCATGTTTGAGAGTCTATACAGAACGTCTCAACAAAAATGGAAAGTAGTTTAATGAGCAAACTGGAAAAAATCTTTATATAACCAGTGCATATTTTAAAACCTATTTGAATATAGCGTGTCATAGCGAACATATATTTTTCTAAATACAATACCCTATATTTTATTGAATATTTAAAGCTTCTAACAACAACAAGTTTCATATCATATACCATATGGTTTCGATTGTCAATTGCTTAGATATTTGGTCAAACGTGTGTGAACAAGCTTATCCAGAAAAAGCGCTAAAATTTCTTCTTATTTATACAGTGCATCTCAAAACGCAGAACGTGGCTTTTCTCAAAATTAAATGGAACCCCCTGTATATTCCTACATCGTTCAATAGTTTTTTTGGTCAACTTGTTTTTATAAGGTTTATACAACGTTTTTTCAAACGTTTTTGAGTTATTGCTATTAATTTCAAGAAAATCCAAATACATCTTGCGTTTAAACATGAAATCAAATCTTCTATCAAAACAAAGCTTGTATTAACAACAAAAATAATATCGGCCTAAGGCAATCAAGTTGATAAATTGTTCGAAAAATTATCTTGCGCATCTAAAAGGGTTTGTCTAGGTATCCGCTTAAACTACTCGCTTATAAGATGTTTCCTCCCTCGGATGTTATAGGTTTCTCCTGATAAACCTCTCCTTTTACATGGCCCCAGAGAAGGAAGTTGAGAGTCGTGAGTTCGGAAGATCTAAGTATTAGGGTACCAGCGGTCTAGATACGGTTCTGAGATCCGCTAGGTTTTATTAAACATCAGTATGGTCCTTTGAGTTAAACATAATAGGGAATCGTGTTACCCAAGTTACTGAAACAACGTGGTTGTAAAAAAAATACTGGACCAGAGATCATACATCTGGGAATCAACAGAACTATTTGGAATGTATTACAATAATTTTGTAATGAATGACTGACGGGTTGAGATGAGTCTTGTTGTGCGAAAAAAATGTAATTGTTCTCATGGAAGATCTGATTTTAATTCTAAATGTATACAGGGCGTTCAGTTTAAATTTTATGAGAAAAGGTATATTTTGCGTTTTGAGATGCCCTGTATAAATAGAAATATATTTTAGCATTTCTTTCAGATCAACATAAAATCGATGATAATAAAATTTTTGTAAACAAAAATTTATCTAAATATCATCAAAAATGACTGAGCCGCGAGCAGTCAAAGTTGAGGCATTTTTTCAGATATTTCACTAAATATCTAAACAATTGTAGAATAGAAAGGTTTTAGGCTGCCTCAAACAATAATTAATATTATTTACAAAAAATATGTTAAATTTACAAAGTGGTCGTCACATCAAACCAAAATAGTGTCTCTTTTTAAAAAAAACAATGCCTTTAGCATACTCGTATCTTGTATAGAGACCTGCTACAATTTAACAAAATCCGCATACGTACATTTATTCAGTAGAATTTGGAACCTTTCAAAAGTGATGCACAGTAAGTAAAATGAATGAAAATTGTTGTATTATATATTCTGCACCAGGGACTTAAAATATCCAATCTTTTTGCCTAATTTCCAACCCATATAGTCAACATGTTTGTTGGCGGTTACTTGTTGATCTATTATAATCCCTAAATATTTAAAACTATCTACAAAATCAAGTACCTCTCTCTCAATTTCCACTGGCACATTTTAATTTACCAATTACTTGCAATTATTTTTCGAACCTATGATCATACATTTCATTTTTTCCACATCTAATTTAATCATATTTGTTTTTAACCATAAAGTAAGTTTGCTCATTTCACTATTCCTTACATCTACAATTCCGTAAATTAATGTATCATCCGCGAACATATTTATAAAAGAATTGTTAAGGACATTGGACGTAAAGAATAAATACCAATGGGCCTAGTACGCTGCCTTGAGGTAATTCATGATCAACAGAAACTTTACTTGATATTTTGCTTTAATTTTTACCACTTGGAAACCACTCAGATAAATAATGGATTGAAAATCGAAACCATACGTTATATGATATCAAACTTCTTGTTTTTAGAATCTATCCAAATATGCAATAAATATAGGTTACTGTATTTGAAAAAACACATGTTAGCAATGGCACAAAGCTATGAAACACTCTGTGTATATTAAGATAATTTTAATAATATGCACTAGTAAACGGATTTTTGGTGTCTTTTCCAGTTTTCTCACAAAACGACTTTCCATTTCCGTTGAGATACCCTGTATCTTTTAGTAGGGCTTCAGGTGGATGGGGACAAAAATTAATCTAAGTAGGTTCTGCCTTATAATCTTTCTTTGGATACGTTACCCAGAAAAATCATTTTACGTATTTTTTTAATTGACGGTAGTTTGTGTGCATGGACGATCTGTTGGCCATATTATTTTTCATTTGCAAGTATTTTAATTTAACTTAGGGAAAAACCTATGACTAACTCCAATTACATATGAAATATTTATACTTTATACGAAGCAGACGTACTTCGTAACATTACTTATGTGTATCTGGTAATTCTTATACTACCACATATGTTTAGTGGTTTACAAACGAAGTGTCATTTTAGCCTAATCTAGGTTTATTGATAATTGGCATAGGAACACACAAAAACTACTAATACATCTAACACACTCATCTAGGTGTCATTTTCATTTTGATTCTTTTTATTTTATTTTTGACATAGTTGTAGCACTCTATGGCAAATAAGTGGTTTGAAAGTGGAGGAAGTTCCAGACAAGCCATTCCAATTTTCAAATTTTCTCATTTCGTTGTTACTACATTGAGAAATAAATCTATTCAGACAGAAAGCTTTTACAATAATCGGCTTTATTAACATTGTTATGCTTTTTAGAAACATCTCTTCTTCCTTTCTGTTTCTTTTGCTTATATATGCTTATTGCTGCTTATTTGTTGACTATTGTTTGATTTGTTATACCGTTCTTTTTATGTTTTCTCGATTCATCCATTCTACACAAAATACTCGAATATTATAAGTAACTATTGTGGGGTCATCGTATTCAACAAAGAAGCTCAATTTTCCGTCCGGTTTATCTTTTGTCATATGGTAAATACAGAAAATTATGGGGCCAATAGCGTCTCCACTCTGTTATAAATAGCACAGTCATTCAGTGATTAGGGATTTTGAAAAAAGACCACAAGCTGTATTTTTTTTTCGAGCATTTAGCTAAGGATTGCGTTTACTACAATCTGAATGCCTTTTTTTTCTTTCTTTCTGGAATCGTAGCATATTTCGTTTTTCTGATAATGAGATTGTCACAGCTTTCAATTAATATCCGACTCGATGACCCCTAATTTATCACACTGTATAAATACACTACGGTGAACTTAGTTCAAAGTTTACGGAATAACATACAAGTAAGATCGCTACAAAAGCAGTCCATCTCAAAACAGAAGACTGAAAAACACCGTGGTGGTCGAAACGTCAGTACCGTTGTTTATTGTTTCTCCACAATGTCTGCTTGGAAAGCTAATGTCGCACTTTTATTAGGAGGAAAATACAACTGAAAGACTGGCAAAAATAAGGCTATGTAAAATATCAAAATCAAAGTATCAGCCCAACAAATAATATCTACACTACATTCTAATTTTTTATCATCTTCCTATAGGCCTGTTCATTTATTTAAACAATTACAAGTTCCGCTACAAGCACCTGAATTAGTCATTAAACCTCGCAAAATAATCATTCTTTTTGATGTATTTGTGAAGTCTTGGGCAATTTTGAGTTGTATTGAAATGTTCAATGCCTAACTGTCAGTTGCATGTTAATGGATCACTTTTTTATAGATCTGCCAACTGCCGTTAGAATCACAAATGTATGCCTTTCATTTTACAAATCCTCACTTTTGTCAGCTTGGCAGTTGCATTTACCTCCAAATCAAAGTGAGGTGTTGACGATTTAAGCTGTTATTTTAGGGGACCCAGTACTTTATTTGCTTAACATACTCGTCAGATTGAGGGGCTATATCAAATTTTTAATATTCGAAAATACCGAGGGATTGTTGCCTGTATATTAAAATTCCCAGTTATTAAAGCGGTTTTCTTTGCCCTACTAGCAAATGATTCATCCTGTATACTATTCCGTAAACTTTGTGTAGGCGTTGGTAGATTGTACCTACAAACACGTATATGCGTATGACGCAGTGCTGGTGATATTCATGGCCTCGCTCGCTTTGTACGTGAGCACCCTGAATGCCGCGAGGTCCCTCCATGAGTTAGTACTGAAAAACGTCATGCGAGTACCGTGCACCACCTTCTTTGACGTCACGCCTGTGGGTAGGATTCTGAACAGGTTCTCGAAGGATGTCGATACTCTGGATAACGTGCTACCGATGACACTCAGGGGATGGATCACCTGTTTTTTCGCAGTTCGTATTATTGGATTTTTATTGTTTTCGCGAGTGGGGTGTTGAATCATTTCCTATATTCTGATGACAGTTCTTATAGTTTACTTGCATACTATATGCTATGGAAGTTGTTGCTATCATCGAATTCGAACAGATTAGAACGAGAAAAGCCTATAATATTTACATTTCATTGTTTGCCGCCAAAAAATGTGTAATTTTTGTGCATACTGTTGACAGAAGCGAAAGTGAATGTTTATCAACGGTACAGAGCATATGAACAATTCTGCTTAATTCACGATTTTGGAACGTGAACAATACGAAACGTTATCTCTATCAAACACCAAAAATGGCGGAATAGTTGATATTGGAAATAGGGGGCACCTTGCTTGAATTTTGCTGTTCTAAATATACACTTACCGTGATCCACGCAGATTCTTGGCTAAAAGCAAATACCTGGTTAAGAGTTACTTGGGAACTTCTATTATATCACTGTCACGATATTCATTAAACAGATTTGAAGGTATTATTGAATTTGGGCAATGCAATTTGCTTTTTGTAATCCACAGAAACCTGTCGGGAACACTAGGATTCTATGAAATTGTAAGTTTTCGCAGGGAGTACGAATTTAGTGTGAAATGTTAACACTCATGGCTTAAGCCTGATCGACTTGTAGTATGAACTTCCATCCTGACTAATGATTACGTAAAGTTTATTACAAACAAATCGTATACTTGCTCGTTCTACCTAGCTCGAATTCGTTAGTAACTACTCAATGAGATCGCTTACCAAACCCTTAAGGTACGTGACCACAGGTCCGAATTGCACACATGGAAATGTTTATACTATACGAATTTCGTAAACTGACAACGTGGATACTTGAAGCGGCTCGTTGTATTGACATGGATTACAAGCATGTCTGCATCGTTGACAACCTTTTATTAGTAGTATTGTAGTAAAGGCCAACGAGAAGTAAGTGAGTATAGTTTTCAGACTATACCCCGCTACCGAAAGGAACAGAGCAACAAACCACATCGCACGCCACTGCAGGCGCGGCGTTCCTTTGGATTGACCTAAGTGGAGCGTGAGTATCCCGCCATATTCAAGGAGATGCCGCGCTGGCCAGATTGAGAAAAAAATTAAATTTTTCCACTCGTGTCTTCAATACTTTTATTGGACAACCAAATAGTTCAATGAAAAACTAAAATTAATGATGTTATCAGAGTTTTGGAATATTATACGATTCAACACTCCATACAGTTTACATACTGTTGTTGAGATAAAGCAGTTACACTTTATTTCAGTTTCATTATATCTCTTAATATTGTTTTAAGCATATATCATGACTCATTTAATTGTGCATCTTATGGGTGAAGTGTGAGTCACCTGACCACACAACGCCAATGAGTCCAATTTTGACAAAGGTTTTTCCTTCTGTGCATATATTTATTTGCTTACTACCCTTAGCGTAGCTTCTGTAGTAAATAAATGTATTTTGGGGTTATCGAAAGTGCATTCTTCTCCTAATTTACAAATATCTAAAACAACAGTTTGTCGTGTAAAGATGAACATAGCACTTTCTATATACTCCTTTAGATAGAATTATAAAAAGGCTGCAGCATAGGCTATTATATTTTACATCTATCATGCTTTGCACGTATTCCCTGAAGACACCTTCTATCATTACAAATGAAAATATTACAGTTCTGAAAGAATGCATCTTCTTAATTAGTCCACTCTGATAAAGGACGCTATTAATGTGATCTCGGGGTATCATGCATCAATATCTATAACATCATTTCAAGAAGAAAACTACGTATGAACGAATGTCGTAAATGTTCAGCTTTTGAGATACACAGTTTTCAATATATGTAGGAAGTCAGTTGCACGCCACTCTGTATTTATTTTTGAGCAGATTTGATTTCTTGAATTCTTTAAGTCGAACGCACGGTTTTCACCTAAAAAATCAGAGCTATTTCTCTATGATATTGTCATATTCACGATAATTTGATCGTTCAGAGAAACGCTTTTTATTTTTTCAAGTAAAAACCATACATCGTATTGAAAAAAATCATGCGATCAAATTTGCTTAGAAATGAATAATATTATTTTAAGAGAACTCATTAGCGTACCATCACTGTCTGCCAAAATAGGCAGGTGAAATTCCGTACAAACGACTCTTGTGGAAATTAAAAAAATGTAGTACATTAAAAAATTCCTCTTAATATATAGTACATGTATGCCAAGTTTTATTAAGATGTATAAAGTTGTATTTACAGATATTAATAATAAACGATCTATTTTTGAAAACTTGACCACCTTTTATCCTAAAAGCTAAGATGTTTAAGGCATACGGTCTTCTTAAAATGGAATTTACGAAGCATTTTTTGGGTTCGCCTGAAAAATTTTTACAGTAGCAGAAGTATAATATTTTCATTGTGTATTTATTCTTATAATTTTAAATTCGATGTAGTATTACCATAACTTTGAATAAAAAAGCTCAACTGAAACCTATCAAAAGGAAACGGCTATTTTGAAAGCAAGTTAACTTATCTTGGATATTCTCAAAACTTTGTTTTCCTAAAATATAATGAATATATATCAATTACATTTTTGGTCGTAATTGCTGTTGGCCTGAGCTGGAGCCAAGATAACATTCAGTTACATAAGTTGCTATTTTCGTAGAATATCTTCGAAATAAAAAAGATGCAGGTCTTAAATTTTTGATAGGTTTCAGTTGAATAACCCTGCGACACTTCCATAGAGAAGGTGACTAAGGTGAAATTCTAGGATTGAGTATACTTAATTATTGAAAATTTTTTCTTGGAAGCGGACACTGTCATTCAGAGGTGCCAGGAAACTGCTACCGTACATAGGGGTAGTGTCACCTTCATTTTTCGCACACTAGAATACTGAGTATTTCAGTAGACCCATTCGCTTGTGTGCTTTCTGTCATCTGATTCCAAATAACTATACCTTTACCGTACTGACGATTGCTAACAAGCACGACACGACGTTGTATATGGTTGCAGAGACGGAAAGCAAACCTATCCCATTCAGTTAGATATCATAACTGCTGTCGAATCCTAGAACTATCGGAGATCTCGGTTTAGTCACCGTCACTAAAGAAGTGGAAATGCGGGGTTCTTTCAAGCTAAAACTTTCCAGCAATAACAGTGTGCTCCTCAGAGCTAAACCTAACTATAGCCGCTCTGAACGCAGCGACAGAAATTCACAGAGGTCTGTTAGGGAACGTGCTGCACCAACACGCGTACTTTTTCGAAATATATCCGGTCGGTAGGATACTCAGCCGGTTTAGCAAAGATCTGGCAGACTTGGACGTTGATCTGCCCTTCAACTGCTATGAGGTTATCGAAAGCGGTCTCATTGTAAGTCGTGATAAGTGTCGTATATAGAATATGGCTTCAAATTTCAACGAAATTCAGTTGACGACCCATAGGGCACCGATATAAATGTGTTCGGATATGACACTAAACAGATAATGCGTCAACTAATCGCAAATGACAATGTCTTCTGCGTCGCTGGGAGGCTTTGAGCTAAGCACTTCCCACATAACGCCGTTACTAGTTCATAAGGGATTATGCTCAGTACAAGCAAGATACAAAAAAGTCAGTCAAACAGGTCTATACAATTAGTCCATAGACATTCCTTCTCTGCCCTACCGGTAGTCCATCTGGCAACGTCGCCAATCCCCGATACCAAACCGGTCATACGTGGCAGCGCAGCTACAGCTTGCGAAACACTATGCTGTGGCGCGGCAGTATAATACCAGAACACTTACCAATGCCGGCGGGTCCTGATGTTTTAAGCGCTGATGTAATCTATGATGTGTGAAATATGTTTTAATAGTTGCGTAGAATTACCAAGGTTGGGAGCGTATGAATATACTAATATAAAAAAATTGAGACATAGTTGGAGGCTACAACCACTACCCCCAAATATTTTATTTTTCCAAAATGATCAGGGGCCTGATTCTAAATGAGTTTCAACCGTTGAAATTGATTTCGATATTGCGTTGTGACGATATTTGATTCGCTATCATAATTTTGACAGTTGATTATATCTACCTTTTATATTCAATATATCATGGCAGTGTCAAAAATAAAAGCAAATCAAGAATATGGTCACAAGGCGCCATAGAATCAACGGTCGAAACTCATTTAGAATCAGGCCCTGGATCCTCTGAAACGTCTAAAAACAAAATTTCGCCGCCGCCACTGGGCCGATTTTCAAAAACGCTTTTTCGTCACTGTCATGGTAACATTGTGTAAAATTTTCAACGAAATCCAAGCGGACTTCTAGGCAGTTATAAGATTAGTGGAAAGACAAACAGACGGATGGTTTTTCGTGATGTACATGTCATATAACATCCAAAAACATAATATCTCATTTTGCTTTCCGCAAGTAAGCGCGTGAAGTAAAAACCGCTGGTCGATATCTTTAGATCGCAGGAATGCCTTTTTCTGGCTCATTCATTCAACCTTCGTATCGAGGTGCATATTGAAGAGGCTTAATGTTCCGGAATACTTCTTTGTGTAAGAAGAACCTAGACGTTTGAACTTTGAGCACTCAGTGCGAATTTTTTTACTCGTGCCTTTCGTTTCACTGGTACCAATTCAAACTTTCCCAGGTGAAATACTGCAAGCACAGAGGCATATTGTTTATGCTTGAGGGGTGACAAACAAAATGAATTTCGCTGAACTTTGAAGCCGCAACTCAAAAGTCCATTGAGACATCTTAATAGCTTACATTGATCTTTAAGACCTTTTATTAATTTCTTTCCCATGAGATTATTTTTGTTCTATAAATTTTAAAACTCCCGGAATACGAGCGTTCATATTGCTTTTTTATATTTACTGTATAAGAGAATATAAACAACTAGATGTTTGTAAATAAATATCATAACCTTAGAGCTGTCCTTCAGTACCTAAAAATACTGAATACTTAGCTTACTTTTTATATTAGTGTGGTTGGAGATATGCGCCGCTATCTTTATAGGCGGT